ATCGAACCCGGAACCTCAGGACTACGAATCCGAAGCGCTGTCCACCCAGCTGTCAGGTGAAGTGACATTTAGTCCTACCTACCAAACCCTCGTTTGGTAGCAAGTCGACAATTGTACCAGAAGCTCAAGCGACCAAATATACGTGTAATAAACTGCCCTGAAATGTCGAAATACGCAATAAAAAAAATATTTTTTCGCTAAATAACGCATTTTTTGTAACGAAATGCATAATGTTGATTAAAAACTATGTATAACAGAATTCTTAACCATATTAAAGCAGCTATGAATACAACAGTTATATTTTACAAAGTATGATTCAGAACTCATATTATACAGAATAAGAGTATAATACATCATAGGTATATTATACTGAAAGAGCGCATGATACTGCAGATATATTACGGAGCGAGAGTGTATCCCGGCAGCAAGCAGGGCACTGAGCTGACAAACTTGGTCCATTAGGGAGGGATTACCTCAAGGGCTTCTCTCAGAGGCAGTGTTGTCCCTGGTCGACCAGGACGTGAGTCAATAACACGCGAATCTGGGTGAGTGCTTTCGGTACACACACAAGCACCCACACACGCACGCACACACACAGCTCATTTGATTGGCGGTGGAGAGGCGGGGCCAAAGAGCCAGAGCACAACCCTTACAAGCACAACTAGGTGAGTTTCATATGAAGAGATTAAACGAGCTTAGTTTGCATTTTTAATAAAGTTTGTGATGATATGATTGAAGTGAACAAATGAATAAAAGGACAAAATAGAGATATCAATAAAGTTAACTAAATCATAAAACAGAATACGTACAATGGATTTAAGTTGGATAAGTTTAGATTTAGGGAATATCTAGGTAAATATTGGTTTGGAAAAAGAGTGTTCATAAAACAAATTACCGGCTAACACAATAAAGGAGGGTAGAAATAGCCTAAGCTACTCTATCCCTTTGAGATGTATTTCTTTCTTATCTCAATAAACATACTTGAACATAATACAGACATGGAATTACTGAATTATTACGAGTTACACAGGTGTGAATGAATTTGGGTGGATATAAATAGACCATCTGCAGTTTCATTAATTCCTACGTTCTCATCCCTACATAATATACATGGTAACAACAGATAAAACGAAGACAGTTATGACGATTGAACCCTAAAAGAAAATTAATATTATTATATTATGTGTTTTAGGAAGAATATAATGCGAACACCTCAAGACAGGGTCCGGGCGGTCGGCCGGACTCGCCAGCGAAAACAAATGAATTCAAGAGTGAAAGCGTTACTAGCCACGAGTGCCGGGGAACGGCGTGCTTGCCACACAGGTGCTCCCGCCAGGTGGGACGGGGGCTGACCAAGCCCGCCGGAGGCCGCTAGTGTTGACTATGGTGATCAAGTTCACGGTAATCCACCAAGAGGAGCGGCCCGTCATGCTTGGTGGTCACGCTCTTCACAGCGATCTCCTGATTTTGTCTTGTGGAATCAAGTACGCTGATGAGTCCCAGTGGTACCCCCCACGTAGGGATGCCCAGTGGTACCCCCACGTGGTCATGCCCCGTGGTACCCCCAGTGGTACCCCCACGTAGGGATGCTCAGTGGCACAGAGCAGTGATGCCCAGTGATGCTTCACTGGTCTACGCCAAGCGTTGCGTTGAACAATAAACTATCACCAGAACACTGGGGTTACTGGTATATGTGCTGTGTGTATTAGTAGATGTATACAATGTACATTTCTTAGTTACAAATTCTCCACCGTATCATATGTCAAATGTATGTACTTTTGTGTAAATAAATTATTATTACTATTATCAACAGGAGATGGAGTTCTATGACAAAAAGTAACTTCCAGTAGGTTCATAGAATTACAACACTCAGTCTATCTCTCAGTCTCGTCTTCTCATTCAATCAATAGAGAGTGAACATTGTCGCTGAGTTATATGAGGCTACTCATCGGTCGCCTCTGTCAGATGTGACGCTGGGTCATGGTAGATTGTTCACGAAGGGGAACAATCCTTCTGGAGAGCTGGAACTCTAATGGAATAGGTACTCTAATGCACCGGAAAGCAATGGAACAGATAATCTGGATAATCTGATGGACCTGAAACTCTGATGGAGTGGATACTCTGATGGACCGGAAACGCAAAACGAAATGTGACACTAAATATTAAATTTGTAAAATAATAAATCACATTGTCGGGGGCAGGAAGCTTGTATTTATTCTTATCGAGGTCCCTCTAGGGCAACTGATGGGTCGCCTCCAGGATGCAACCCACAACAGTTGCTATATCTCAGGGGTACTTATTTCACTGCTAGATAAACAGAGGCATCAGGTGAAACAAACAAACCATCTCTGTCTCGCCCGGCAATTGAACCCTTCGAGTGTGGGCCGAGGACGTAGACAACTATGCTATAGAATACATACGAATATCAGGGGGGGGGGGTTGTTTCACATTGTTTTGTGGTCAGCAAGAGTGAGAGTTTTGTGGCAACACGACCGGGTTTCTTGGTCAGTGGTCCGCGGCCGTCGAAAATTAAGTGACATGACCACAGTGAGAAGGCTCTACTTTCCACCCTTCCGCTGTGTGAGGTGTGGGTGGTGAGGCTACCTCCCCTTGTGTGAGGTGTGGGTGGTGAGGCTACCTCCCCTTGTGTGAGGTGTGGGTGGTGAGGCTACCTCCCCTTGTGTGAGGTGTGGGTGGTGAGGCTACCTCCCCTTGTGTGAGGTGTGGGTGGTGAGGCTACCTCCCCTTGTGTGTACTATCTTGTTTTTTCCTCGGCCAACTACTTAGCGTCCGCAGGATGTAACCCTACAACGGGTTGTCTAACTCCTGGATACCTATTTACTGGTCATTAACCACAAGTCCAAGTACAAAGGCTGTACAAAGTTGCTATAAAGTTATAACACTTCTACTTTAATGGCGCCAAGAATTGTGTCACATTTAAGTTATTCTTAAAGAAACGCTTATAATTTGCCAACTGCTGCAATAACCAGGGGAACAACCTCCGTTTATGTCTAACTGCCTCAGTGTCAATCCCAACTCTCGCCCTCCATAATATTATATTGTTATGTCGTTATATAACGTATACCTCGTGCCAGAGCTGTTATACCACGGACCCGTGTGCTGCTAATTCACTTATTAAATTCCAAACTAATAACTTCATATACACTAGTTTTAAGTATTACCTAAAAGTATTTATTGTGTTTTACCAAACTTTTTAATAATTGCAAATGTTCTGTGTTTTTTTGTTTAATTTTTAATCACCTAATAAATATTCGGTTTTAACACCACTATTTTGTTCACATTCAGACTTGTGCGAAATGTTACGAGCATTAATTATATGTTTTATCTTCCGCCCGGGTTCGAATCCCGGGCAGGGTTGAGCGTGTTTCCTATAACCTAATGCCCTGTTCACCTATCAGTGGATAAGTACACAGGTTCTTGTGGGGTTGCATCCTGGGAGAAAGGGAGGGGGTTCGATCTTTCGGATAGGGAAGGGGGGCCTCGATACAAGCCTAACATGTATATAAACCCTGGCTGCCTGTCCCCCGACACAATATGTTAATATTAAATGTGTTAGTGTAATGTTAATTATTTAGGATTACTTGTGCATAAGGCGATATGCATCCTTCGTTGTTCTTGTTAAGTGCAGCATTTATAATTTTGGGATGAATTCTCTAACCTTGTATACTTTATTTACGCTTGCTGTGCTCGGGTGCATGTGCCCCTACTTGCGTAGAACATAAGAACACAAGAACAAAGGTAACTGCAGAAGGCCTATTGGCCCATACGAGGCAGCTCCTATCTATAACCACCCAGGATGGGGAGCCGGTCGGCCAAGCGGACAGCACGCTGGGCTTGTGATCCTGCGTTCGATCCCGGGCGCCGGCGAGAAACAATGGGCAGAGTTTCTTTCACCCTATGCCCCTGTTACCTAGCAGTAAAATAGGTACCTGGGTGTTAGCTGTCACGGGCTGCTTCCTGGGGGTGGAGGCCTGGTCTAGGACCGGGCCGCGGGGGCACTAAAAAGCCCCGAAATCATCTCAAGATAACCCAATCCCACTCATATTCATGTCCAACCCACGCTTGAAACAATCGAGGGACTAGAATATGTAAAAATTATAGTTATTAAGGTCACTTAACATGTATCCCCCTGTACATGCACACCATAGGCTACAACTCGCAGTTGCAACTTACTGGCAACCGCGAAGCTGCAATAAATTCCAGCAGCTTCAGGTGTAAATTACTAGCAACTGCTGTTGCAAATCTCCATGTACCTTGTAGTTGCAAATAATTCATTTAAATTAATACAATTTATAGCGTCTATGTTTGTTCATTCTCACGCACAAAAAAATTAACTGATATTTTCCCTGTTTTAATATGTAACTTAACAGTTTACCGAGCTCCGGTTGGTTAAAATATTTAATGTCACTGGTCTTGCAATCATTGTTAATGTCAATGGTGTGTGTGTGTGTGGTAGGCTATTTATAATTTTGTATCTTTACAAGTCATTATTATTGTAGGCCTAATTATGCCTTCGAAAATTAATATTGTAATATTATTCCATATTAAATTGTGTTTTGAGTATTATACGCGAGTTTGAGCAAAGGTCGACCATCTTACAAATAATTCATAGACTAAAATATTAATTGAAAACTACATATAAAATATAGCTCGTGTGAGCTTGTCTCCCCCCCCCCCTCCACCACACAGACACACACATACACACGTTAGAAAAGAATTTTTTCAGTGTCAGAGTAGTAGACAAATGGAATGAATTAGGCAGCGATGTGGTGGAGGCTGACTCCATACACAGCTTCAAGTGTAGATATGATAGAGTCCAGTAGGCTCAGGAACCTGTACACCAGTTGATTGGAGGTTGAGAGGCGGGACCAAAGAACCAGAGCTCAACCCCCGCAAGCACAACTAGGCGAGTACACACACACACACACACACACACACACACAAGCGGTGGTGGCGGCTACAGGTAATAAGCTACTCACCCATTGAGCAGACTTCACTGAAGTATCACGTTTCGTACAGCCGTTGAAGGATGCGCATGCGCCTTGACCGCATGCGCGTGCTGTCAAACACCGCTGTCCAGTCGTCAAGCACGGCTTGTTTGCGTATCGTCTCTATGCAGACCAATCACAGTAACATTTAACGGTATATTACATACATTTATATAATATATATAAATGCTAAGCTTGACTGAAGCTCTTATAATTGTGTGTGAAGCCGTTATATATGATATTGGCAATGTTCATATACAGTAGTTCCCTATTGTAATAACCTTATGTTATGTTTATAGCTTTTTATGTTATCTGCGAAGCCTTAATGTTATCTGAGAAACTTTAAAGTTATTTGCGAATCTTGAAAGTTATACGAAGCTTTTATGTTATTTGCGAAATTCAGTTTCCGCGGGTCGTTCTTCACCTGAGTCATCCAGCTGCCGGTCGATAAACAAGCGTGTAAAGTGATTCTTGGCATCAAACACATTCCCCACACACCACCGCTCCTGTGCCAGGTAAGTCCACTACGGGCTCACCATATATAGCCCGTGCTACTTGCCCCGCTCCTGTGCCAGGTAAGTCCACTATGAGCTCACCATAGCCCGTGCTACTTGCCCCGCTCCTGTGCCAGGTAAGTCCACTACGGGCTCACCATAGCCCGTGCTACTTGCCCCGCTCCTGTGCCAGGTAAGTCCACTACGGGCTCACCATAGCCCCTGCTACTTGCCCCGCTCCTGTGCCAAGTAAGGTACGGGCTCACCATAGCCCGTGTTACTTGGAACTTGTTCCGAGTAGCTGAATCTATAACAACAACAAGCACATTATTAACACGTGTCTGTTACTATGAAGACGATGTAACTGCTCTTGTTAAATACGACCATTTGCTCCCGCGAAATTCGCGGTCCATCAACTCAAGCTAGTCGGTAGAGAAAAGGCTTCTTGCAGGTCGACGTTCGATCCTCAATGGTCCAAGTGCTTGGACACCATTCCTCTCCTTCCGTCCTATCCCAGCTCCTTGTCCTCATATCCCTTCCAATATTATACGGTCTTACGGCTTAGTGCGTTCTCATAGCTTAGCGACGGAATTCATGAAACTCGAAACCAGAAGAGTAGAAATAGCCTAAGCTACTCTATTCGTTTAAGATGTATTTTATTTATCTCAAACATACTCGTACCTAAACCTGAAGATGGCAGTACACTCCTGTGTAAGTTGGCTAACAAAAGATAGTCTTGGAAGCTACAATATTCTTCGCCTCAGGTATTCATTTGCGAGACAATTATTCACCTGAGGGCCGCCGTCTCACAAGTGGTGTTGATGACAGGAAGCCGACGGCTTGTCGAAGATCCCCACATGTCATGATGATTTCATCAGCAGGATTTTATATTGCAGCAATGTTTTGGTACTTAGGAGATGGGATGGTATACTGTCGACGTGCTATATAGCTTGTGGTTGTCAACGGCCAAGCACTGTGGTCAACGGTCAAGCACTGTGTTAAGGCTGGCGGTGGTCAACGGTCAAGCACTGTGTTAAGGCTGGCACTGTGTTAAGGCTGGCGGTGGTCAACGGTCAAGCACTGTTGAGGCTGGTGGTGGTCAACGCGCAGAGCGCTGCACTAACACTGGCGGCGGTTAGCAAGCCAGTGGCTGGAGTGAGCAAAGGCCGAGGAGACTGTAGCATCTCCAACTCAACCTTCCTTTACCACCCCCACCCCTCACACGCCCACTCCCCTTCTTCCGGAACAAGTGCTTCGCTGACGACTATTGTTCGAATCAAAACACTGAAAATGCCAGCCCGTCCTCCAAACAAAGACCCAAAAGTGATTCCATGACAGCCCGTCCTCCAAACAAAGACCCAAAAGTGATTCCATGCCAGCCCGTCCTCCAAACAAAGGCCCAAAAGTGATTCCATGCCAGCCCGTCCTCCAAACAAAGACCCAAAAGTGATTTCATGACAGCCCGTCCTCCAAACAAAGACCCAAAAGTGATTTCATGACAGCCCGTCCTCCAAACAAAGACCCAAAAGTGATTCCATACACCCGCCAAACCTCCTGTTTATGAATAAAAAACGGTTTACACACACGACTCGCAACTGATTTCGTTCGAACACTTCCGGAACAAGTGCTTCACTGACGAATTTTGTTCGAACCACAAGGCTATAAATGCTTTACCCACTTACTACAAATACAAATAATCGCCAACAGAACCTAAAATCTAACCTAACCAGTGCCTAGATATGTACAATATGTTAATATATAATAATATTAATTTATATTTGACAAAATTTCTGTTTTGAATGAATAGAATGTTAACATTGATGAATGCGTCTTTGGGGTCGACTGCTGAATAGAATATGGACAAGATCTGAGGACGGGTTGCAAGCCTATTATCTCGCGCCCACGTCACATGCTTACAACCCATCAAATTCAATACCCATCACCCACTCTCCATGGGGTGGAAGGAGTGATACAAAGCACACAAATTGTGAAAATTAAGATTAATAATGATTGAAAGAATATTATCGTAGGTTTCGGTATCTAAATTGTTTACACCTTGTCCTCTTGGGTGAAAATTTAGACTAATAACTGTAATATTTTTTATAGTATTTTATATCACCGATTCGAAACATTTTAAGTTGATTGTCTCATACCCGAAATACTGTGCGTATTGGTGGTTTAGGCATAGTAGAATACTTGCTCTATCTAGAAATCCAACATTCTGCTTATAACCCATTTTGCATGTATGTATGTACTTTTCCCTAAATAACCATTATCATCATCAAATGTTGTTTTGAATTTCGAGATGGGCCAGTCTCACTCTGCAACAGTATCAACAGGAACAAGATGCAAAGCCGTCATCAGTGTCATGGCAAGGGAAAAGAACCAACACATGGCTGGAATTCCATGCTAGAGTAGCATATTCCTGGAGTGCCCTGACAAGTTGCTATGCATAGGCTTGCTTCTAAAATCCTGTTGTTGCTTGCCAGTTTTGCATGTACTGCTGATAGTGTTCTATGCTGGTGTTATGTTCAATCTTTGGTCCTTATGTTGTATGATCCTTCTAGCCTCATTCAAACATCTAATCTTTTCCACATGTTAACAATGAACTGTAGTGACTATTTTCTCTGAACAAGCTTGTAGCTTAGTGAGAACTTGCTTAGCTAAATGAATTGTGGGGTTCAATCCCTGAGAGCCTACCCTTTTATACTGCCTGCTGTAACCCTTAGTGAGGTTTCATTGTGCTAGTATGCCCACAAGGAATAGGTATTGACTTATTTAATAAGGCATAGGTGCATAGCTTCATACCTTAATGTTAACTAAGCAAACTAACTAAACTTAGTGAGAAGTTGCTTATCCTGTTAGTATTGTGAAGCTGTATTAGTGTTACCTATGCCATTTTCAAAGGAATGCTGCAGAAAATTACAGGCCAGTCAGCCTTACCACTCACTAGCAAGCGCTTTAGAGAGAAGCCCAAGGGAATAAACCCTCTGCCAGCTCTTAGGTGCACACTCTTTTAAAAGCATTACATAATGGTTATGTCAAATATATTTTCTGCCTAACAAACTTGTTCATATGTCTGGAAATGGTAGCCAGCTACGAAGACAGAGAATAAAGTGTAAATAGACTTCTCTGGTATTTTTGGTAGGTACAGCACCATAGGCTGGCTCAGAAAATACAAGCACATGAAACATGTAATAATGTATTAAACAACGGTTAAAACAAAGCAAAGGTTTGCCCTAAATGGCAGAATGGTGTGTGTGTATGCGAGACAGACACTGACTTGGACGGTTGGGGATTGAACACCGACCTGCTTGAAGCAAGACCATCACTCTACTTCCCAGCCCAAGTGGTTGTAGAGAGAGAGAAGCAAGCATAAGCAAGAAGCCCAGGGTTCATGCCCTGGGCTAAGTATTGCATATTCACTGTTTGCTCATGCTCTCAATAGTAATTAACTGATTAAATGTGAGCTTGAGAAAACATGATGCAGACTAACCTAACCGAGTTTCAACACATGGTCCGAGGTATCTATCCCAAAAATGAGATTTAATATACAGTAAATGATGTGAAGGAAAAAAAAAGATACAAGCTTAAATACATAAATTGTTACTAGTTCATCAATATTTCAGCTTACTTAGCTAAACGAATATGTTGGTTTAATTCCTGAACCCACTTTGTGACTATCTCTTTCACCAATCAGTTCAAATTAGACAAATTTAGATTTAGTTAAGAGATAGGCATGAGCTGATTTAACAATAGATTTTTTGGATGGGTGAAACAATCTGCCAAAGTTATTGAAACAAATAAGCTACATTGGTTGACTTTTTAGAAAAGTCACAATCAGACAAAGGTCTGCAAATATTTGTAAATTAAATTACATTACTGTACTCTTTGAAACCTTCATGGTCCCAGGTTCCTGTTGGGTACACAGGGAAGGAACAGTGCCCAGTTATTCTACCACACCTAGGGCATTATTCCAGGTCCTCTTGCACATACGAGTTTACTGACCCAACCCTAGGTCTGATTCCAGGTCCTCTTGCATATACGAGTGTGCTAACTCCACACTAAGTCCAATTTCAGGTCTTGCTTATATAGCAAGTGTAACCCTAACCCTACACAAGTGTCACAACCAATTTGGTTGCCATTGGCAAATTAAATTTCAAAGGATACTGCTTATGAATGGCATAGGCTACTGATATGTATTAAGGACAAGTAATTATCAAAAAGAAGACACCAAACCGGGAAGGCTGTGTAGCACCATCAAATGTGCGGGATAATCAGAGGGCGCTAAATATCACCAAGGATGCCAATACGAGAACAGAAACGCATAAGGTGAACGATATCAAAAGTATCCGAGTCACCAGAAGTATTAAGGACAAGGAAAGATTTTATTGGTTCAATTTATAATTAAAAACAATATATTGCTTTATATGAAAATTCTTAAATAATTAATATAGCAAATTTAATGCCCTCATTTTTATGTTTGTGAATTGTGTATGAGAGAAACACATTCACTATCATTTGTCCAAATGATACATATGTATTATACACAAATTTAATAATATAAATATATTCTAGTATTCATTCATGCATTGCTTTTCTATAAAATGTAAAAAGGTGTAAAGTAAAAATTGTATGATTATCCATGGTATGCAACATTTCACTCATTAACACAACTGTATACACTTAATTAAATGCAAAACAATTTACCAGTAGAACTTTACAATTGCAAACACACAATAGTTCAAAATATGCAGCAGAATTAAAATGATTTCAGTACAGTACTACCTATTAAGGACACTTTACAGTACGAGGTCCAATAGTTTTGATAAATGTAAATTTAAATAATACAATGCTGTTATAGAGACTTGTGAAAAGTAATATAAATAAATTTTCAAAAGCTTTAGTTTGTAAACCTGCTTAATATTTCAAGCAATGAAGTAACATTAAGTTTTAAATCACACCATAAAATTTTTTTTATATGCTGATGCACAAAATTGCATTTAAATTACAAAGTGTCCATTTGGTATTTACTCAGTCAACTTATACATTGCAACTTTTCAACATAGCATACTGTGTAACAGGTGGTGAACTTTCTGCATTCTCGAAGGGTGCCCTAGCGTCACGCCCCTTGTGGATTTGTTCATTGATGCATCACGCTATTGTGATTTCTGTGTGTAATCAGTAGTGGCAGTTACGAACTTCCTAAATAGAAAATAACCGTGTCCTCAAGTAACCGATTCATACATTTAAAAATTAAAAGCATGTACAGCATTGCTGCAATTTTTAAGTACTTTAAAAAGATGTGGCAATTATGGAAGATATAATAACTGATACAGGCGTAAAACTTAAGAACATGCAACAATCTTAATTTCTACAGCATTGTCTATTATTACAAGCCTGGCAATAAAATTTAAAAAAAATGGCCGAAATATTGAATATGGAAGCCTTATCCAAAATATTTAGTGTAAGGAATGTACTATCCAAATAGTAAATAATGACAAGTTGCCTCTCCAAACACCTTCCCATCTGAATATAACTTGCAGGGCATCACACCCTCATTCACTAAATGACATCCCAGCATCTTTCACTATATGGACTTCACACAATCTCACTAAATGGACTTTACACCATCTCACTAAATGACATCACACCATCTCACTAAATGACATCACACCATCTCACTAAATGACATCACACCATCTCACTAAATGACATCACACCATCTCACTAAATGACATCACACCATCTCACTAAATGACAGTTTGAATTGTCACATGTCTTCTGCATACCTGTATTTACTGTTTTCTGTTAATAATTTATACCATACATCATTTTATACAATAAGCAAACAAAATTAAAGCATTATAATTAACCAGAGAACAAAATTCGCATTCAAGAAAAAAAGGGGGAAAATAGTTATATGACGTGTTCAAGAAACGCTGAAGGAAAAACATTTTGATAATTTAATACATTCCTAACAAGAAACTATGCTGATGTGAAACAAAGTAGACTATGCAATGTCATTTTTCAGTGAAACCCAATTCACAGTTTTTCAAAACAACTGACTTCTCTTTTAGACTTTTGCAGCCTAATATATGGCATGTGAATCCTTTCCCTTTTCAATCTTCAATATTTCAGCCACACTAATAAAATAACTTATTCTAAAATTATCCAAAATTATACAACTACATAATGTATTAAAAACTGTAAGTACAATTAGCACTACATGCTCAACAGTATCAGAGCAGTCATTTGTGAATCTAATCCATCTACATCTACCCACTGGGCATTATATCCAAGAGCAACACCAATTTGACTCCAAATCAATGCAAACAATGTTGATTCAGCATTGAATTAGCATTGATTCAATGTTTAACCAGAGCCACTCTTGAATATTGTGCCCACTGGGTAATGACTGATATAACCATAGTTATTGGCATCCACTATTTGCTTTATGATTTTGCAAATTACAAAATGAAAGTGATGAAAATTTGTGCACATTTATGACTTTTCTTATGTCATGTAGTACAGCTGTGTACATTCTAAACCTGCAATTGGGGATCCTGGGTTCGATTTCTAGGTGGGAAAGACATGGCTGGGACTTCAAATCTTTGGAGCTAGGACTCCTTTCATCAAATGCCTCACCAAACGCTAAACTGGTACCTGGGAGTTAGTCAACTGTTGTAGAGTTGCATCCTGGGGTGGGTCGTTAGTCTGACCCATTGGGACTTTAATACAATGTTCTTGACCTTGTATACAAGCCTCGATACAAACCTAACGTATATGCTTATACGGTGTGCCTGTTCCCGACGAAATGATCATTATTAAAATATAAGGAGCTTGTGCTCTTTGGTTAGGAGTAAGATTACTATCATCCCACCACCTCTTAACTAAAAAATTTTAGTTTACAACTTTACAAACATTACATCAACTTTAGTTTACACTGTGATAATTTGAACTATCAAGCTTGCCTCTTGTTTATTAAGAATTTATGGGAAAGAAATTTGTTAGCTCAGCAGAATAATGTAAATTGCTTTTCTTGTATTTGCATTGAACATTTAAATCCTGAAAATCTAATAAACTTAGGTGCTGTTATTGTACTGTCTTAGCAGCGCATACAGACACTGATACACTATGTCAAAGAAAATATATAGTGATAAGTTTTCTTTTATTAATTTTCAACTATGCTTTTTCTCAAACTCTTTAGGAATTTCTCCAGTTCATAAAAATAAAAATGCTAGCTTGCAAATTATAATGCTGTGCTGCATATGTTGATTGTGTGAATATGCATTTGAAGATGTAAAATATGTAACAATTGGGGATCTAATGTATATATCCCAAATAAACTTGAAGGACTGTATATAGCATCTTGTGCTTTATGGTATAGAAGTAAACAATAAAGATTTACAAAATACAAATATGACTATTCTTAAAACCTGAGGTAATGTGATAACCGAGACTACGGTTTACAAGTTGAACTAAATATAGAAGTATAATTATTCTTTTTCTCATTCCTCCCAAGCCTCAACTTCGTTGATATTATACTGTTAATATAGTGCACTATTTATACTATATTCACTCAAAAAGTCAGCACAATCTTGCATCAGATATTCCAAAATTTAAAAAGATGTATCTCAGTATAAAAAATCATTTGGTGTACATTAACCCTTACACTGCTACAACTCCTATTTGCAATTAACTCCTGCATGCAACTCACAATATGAACTTTGCTTTGTTTATTTGACTTAACTATATTTTGTCCAATGCACCATGATGTAGTATTTTTTAAGTAACTAAACAGTGTAACTGTTAATCAACCATAACAACCGATCAACTACAGTACTATCTAAAACTAAGATTTTTCTTCACTTAAAAACTTGAAAACGTCAATGTCATCCGAGCCCAACTCGGCGCGTTTTCGTACTTCCTCTAGAGTATAGTCTTTCAACAATTCTCCATTCTCAAAAACTGGAATCAATATATCCTGAAACGAGAGAATAAGTTAATTTAATTTGAGCTTGTCCAATGTGTATGTACTTCAATTATTCTGTATATATTTGTTATAGTTAATTCCTTACATACAAATAAACTTGTCATTTACAAAATTTATACATTCATATTATTCTAAATACAAACTCAAAACTATTATACATGTGTATACAATACTTACATGCATATAAATTTATATATATACAGGTATGTATAAGTACATATGTATGAACAAGGCAAACAAGATCATAATAATAATGCTGGAAACATATGCTAAGAATCTCATCCACTATCCTTTTACATGAAGGAGATCATACCCATCAATACTAACACATTTAAAGTGATACCTAAATTTTAATTGCACTAAGAATAGAAATGCTTTGAAAAGGGACATGAAATACAAAGTTAAAATGTAAACATTCTTAGCTGCTTTAAAAACATGAATCATCATTGGACATTCGAACAAATCCACAAGGGCCGTGACGAGGATTCGAACCTGCGTCCGGGAGCATCCCAGACACTGCCTTAATCGACTGAGCTACAACAGGGTAAAAGGGTTGAAACCGAAGTTCTACTGAACTTCGGTTTTTAACCCTTTTACCCTGTCGTAGCTCAGTCGATTAAGGCAGTGTCTGGGATGCTCCCGGACGCAGGTTCGAATCCTCGTTACGGCCCTTGTGGATTTGTTCATTTGATGCATCACGTTAGTGTGATCTCTGTGTGTGATTGGACATTCATATAGGCCCAAGTCTCAAATCCAACACTTAAAATGCTTTCAAAATAAGGCATGCTTTGAGTTTGACTTTGCATGACTAGCAAAGGAAAAACATCCATATAAGTAAATGTCATACATGCTAAGGCATCATTGCATACAATAAAATGGAAGAAAATTGATTAAGTGAATTAATAAAAGTACTGTATTTCAAAATAATAGATCACCGCACATGCCAGAACCCTTGCTGGCTCCATATAAAAGAATTAATGAATTAAAACACTGAACAGATTGATCCCCTGTGCAAAGAATCTCACTACTGTATGTTAAATTTGCTAGCTCATTCAAAAGCCAAACTCAAGAGTAATACAACTGTGTTTTATAGGCTAGCTTGTCATTTTCCAATCTGTAGTTTAAATTCCATCACAATATTATAATAATTAATGACGTATATTGCTTACAGTCATAAACTAAATTAATATGAGACCAATGCAAATGACTTCTAATATGGTAATTTATGAAAAAATATCAACATTCAATATTTAAGAAATTGTACAATAAAACCAATCCCACTCCTTCACCTGCCTTACTCTGGCTTCTAATACAGTCTACTGGTCTAAACTCCAGTCCCATTGAAGTGTAGTAGATGAAGTACACAAAGCCTTGAAAACTATCCATGCATATTTTCTTAGATAATTTTAAATTTATGAAAATACCCTAATGTGATGCCACAAAGCTAATCATGAAATAATGAGACAGTCCTTGAGACTTCCTACACTACTACATATGCACAAATTATTTTTTTTAATACCTGTACACATTTTTTTACTAGGTGAGTACAAAATGCTTCCATTGTTCATAATTAGCTACCAACCACACATCTATGGCTTCCTCATAATAATGTCATACTCGCAAACATGCACATCAGGAAAATAGCTTTAGCACTTTATCTGATACGTTAACATTCACTCCCTACCCTTTCAGTCCAACCACTTGGACTGACTGGTACAGCAACATCACCACTTCTTGCAGGATCAGCGTTTGACAGCCGATGGTTCGGGTGGTTGGCCACCATTCTTTCACTCCATTCTCGTATCCCAGTTCTTGATCTGTCCTCGTATACCTTCCGAGTGTTACACGATACAGTCATTCTAGCCAGTGATTTCTTCTGAGAAGTGCCTTTCCCTAGCTTCACGACTTTTATACACTGTAATGCTCACTGCCATCCCAAGTTAATAGCTAACATATCAACAATAGGTATATCTAATAAGTCCTCCTAAAACCAACCCAAGTCCACCACTAACACTGCTTTCAGCAGGCCATCGATTTCTTTAAATTAAACAAATAAATCGGGCTTTCACCTGTTCTAGTCTTGGGCATATAAAGCGCCCTACATATATCCTGGACAACCTTAAACATTCCCATGAGCACCTATCCCATTTCCCCTTGCCCAACCACTTGGGCTGAACGTTAAGAGTGATGGTCTCACTTCATGCGGGTCAGCATTCAGTCCTTGACCATCCAAATGGTTGGGCACCATTCCTTTTCCCCATCCCATCCCAAATCCTTAATCTGATCCCTTGCAGACAATTAGTCACAATAAGGTGGCTGAAGATATGAAGACTAAACCAAGATCAGAAGACTGAACCCTTGCAAGTGCTACGTAGTCTTAATAACTTAGCACTTTCTCCTGATAGATCCCTTCCCCTATTCCATTTCCCCATACCCTCCCTACCACTCTACATTTCTATCAACTATTCATTTATCCAGACTAGTGCTTCTCTCAGGAAATAAAAAACTAAGTACAGTATACTGTACTACAGTATTTGAGTGAGCAGATATATGAGACCGAGGCTTTCCACTGCAAAGAGTAATGAATAAAAAGAGATATATAGGACAAGGCTGGGTGGAAGTGGTGTGTGTAAGGGAATGAATGTATTTGTATGTTCTGTACAGAAATATTCATGTGGAGCACTATACACCTGGTTTTATGAAGTGGTGGAGAGTTGCTGTTGGGGTGCGATGTGGTGCTTATTTGTGAAGTATATTGTGAATGACAATTCTAATACATGGTTAAGTAACTTAATTATTTAATATAATTTATATAATTCTTAGTTATATGAAGTACATTTGGAACATGATAGAGTATCTATAATCTCCTTTGACTATATTACCCCCCCTTTTCTTCTCTGGGAAGATGCCCTAATTCATAAGCATGGAAAATTGGGTGATGATAATGCATGTATGTAAACAGCTAAAAATTTATGAATTTACAAACATCAAACAGCATAATACAGAAAACGCAAATTTGCTGATTATGATGGACATTAAAAGATATTTACAGTATTCCCACTTTTCTTCTGCACATGGGAAAAAATAGTAAAATATGTACAGAAAGCTTCAGTGAGTGCTTTAAAATACAGCAGACAATAGCTAGTACGCTGCATCACAATTGACCCACCACCAAGTACATGGTTACTAAATTTATACCAGAATTTTAGTGTATGACATATTGCCGTCATGACCATAGATGGCCACTTGAATTATGTACATAGCCATAGCTGCTGCCACAGGCATTTTATTAATTTTCATGTATTCCTTTATGTTTAATGCATTGTACCGGTACTCTATATCCAATCCCGAGATGTATAAAAAACCATTTTGGTGCTTCTGGTATGTAAAGGAAATGCCAGCAAATTTATGAGAAGGTATAAGCTCTTCACAATGTGGCAGATATTTACAGGGAGATCTTTGTGAGGAACCCCAGTAGTCACAGACCATTAAGCTTTACAATGACAGCAGCAGGCTCTCCAGCCCGAGTTTTGGGGTCTATGCGCCTCGGGCAGTGGGGAGAATGTTAATGCTTACATTTGTCTTATTTAATTTTCCTTATTTTATAAATTTAAAACAAATATTCTAAACTATATACAGTATGTATATTGATAAGTATTTCTGAAAAGTTTTTTTTAGAACTTATCTGCTTTTTGTCCTATAAGTTCCAAGTACAGTTTGTGGCTGGCAAGAATGCACTATGCTTAGAAACCTACTACCCCATCCCCCTTCTCTTGTACTAGCCAATATCTACTGTATTAACAACAGTGAAAATGGATGAAATTTATAACATAGAAAACCTAAAAGCTTTAAATAAAATCTGCACACACACACCCACTAAAACAGTAAACAGTGAAAGCAATGGCTAGAAATCGTTTTAAGCATTTAATGCTCTAGAAGATTTACTAGTGGTATATCAAGGCAATATTTTTCGAGGAGCCCACCTTGCCACTGTGTTGGGAGAAGACTGCATCTATGTCGAAAGGTGAGGATGAGAAGGGCTTGACGGGAACAAAATCAAAAAAGGATTGTTTGCAAAGGGAAGTAGAACAAGAGTCAACAGGAGATTGTGAGCCTTGTGTATCTAAACATTCATGATTTATCTTTAATGGAACAGTTTGAGAAATTAAAACATTATTACAATGCAAGGTACACGAGGGTGACTGACTCGATAAGGATGACACAAATGGTGCGTTTTGCAACCTCCTCTTGCTCCCCTGTATGAGCTTTTTATTTTCTTTGGAGTTAGGTTTATATAATGCGGAGGGACATTTAGATACATAAGGACAGGACAAATCTGAATAAATTAAATCGTCTCTCTGAGTTTGCACCTCACAGAAAGACGGGCAAGGGGACAGTTTCAAGGGTGGAACACAATGAGGCCTTCTCTGTTTTAGATATGGGCAGTAGTATGGTTCCTTAGTGATGAACTCCTGAATCACCTCGCAGACGCACGATGCCTGTTTCATCAGCATAAGGAATAATGTTATCAGATGCGGGGAAACATACATAGGATTAAGGACTTGCCTGAAATGCTATGCATGCTAGTGGCTGTACAAGAATGTAAGAACTCTTGTATATATAAATAAAATTCTGTATTCATTTTATATCCAATTAATGCATCTACAATTACCTACTACTATTACCATATTGTATCTTAATTAATAATTAAATTGTATTGGTGGGTCACATTCTGGGAAACATAGGATTAAGGACTTGCCTGAAATGCTATGCATGCTAGTGGCTGTACAAGAATGTAAGAACTCTTGTATATATAAATAAAATAGTCCTTGAAAATAGAGCAGAGCAAAAGCTACTCGAATATATACAAAAAAATAATGTGAAAGGATTCAAGGGAAATATGACTGACCATCATAAAGATATGTAAAGGGAGTGAATGACAGTCAATACTCAACAAAAACTTGTATATCACGTGCCCGAAACGCTGCGCGTACTAGTGGCTTTACAAGAATGTAATTACTATGCTATGTATCCTCGCAATCCCAATGTACCTTCTTGTATATATATGTACATAAATAAATAAATAAATATATCTCTGTACTGTACTGATGCTTCCTTAATATAGTGCTACCCCTCTCTTCAAAAACTAGTACCAAACTTCAAAAACTTACTTCCAAAACTACTATTTTTTATATTATTTACTCCAATCTTTATCAATCTTTAAATGTCTCTTGTATCATGTGGGCACACTTACTAAAAACAATATCTTTCTGAACTACCTCACTTCATTGCCCTTAAAATGAAGATTGAGATGTCTATGGGAAAGCAATTGTGCAAGCAGGCAGGGTGACGCTCGTTGTACTTGCCAAGGAGCACTAAGAAATAACTCATTGGCTCGTTCAGCCATCTACCCTTTCCTCCACCAGGTGGCAGCACCAGAACCACAATACAGTATGTAACTAAGCCGTATCTCATTCTTTCCTGTCTTTATGTCAGAGGGAAGCCAGAAAACCAGATTAAAATAAAGCGGCTTGTTTATCCATTTAAAGTTTCTTTGCACAATGGATTCATGCCAATACTGTATAAAATTCTTTGGTGTGTGTGTTTATAAATATTGTTTGGTTTCGTATTTTCAATAATCTGCTGAGTCAGTGGTGCTCAGCATGCAGTGAGCATGAACCAGCTTCCCAGCTTTACTTAATTAACCTTTTGGAAGAAAGCAATTGGCACTAAGCACTAGGTGCCTTCAGCAGCAATTCTACCTGGCATATATGATCGCAGGAGAGACAACGTCGTACATAGATCCTAAAGATTGAGAATTCTAGATTTAAGAACTATGATTCACTTGCAGAATAAAATATGGAAACAAATTTACTTGCACAATTGTTTTAGTTATTTTGTACAGTTAACTAATTGTTATTTAAACTTGTTAATTTAAATTATCTATTTATACAGACAGGTGAAAGACAGTATATAGACTATTCTGATATTAGGTGAAGAACCTATTAATGGCCAAGAGTGTTCTATTTAAGATACTTAAGGTTCTTCAAACCTCAAGTATCTAATATTGAACATAAGCATTTTTTCTTAAAATTGGTAATTATCAATGCAAAAGTTCCTACTCAACAATGTGTAACCCATTGAGAGGGACAAATATTAGCATATTCTTGTATGATTATAACAGAATAAAGGTGTAGGGGAATATACGAGGTGGTAATTAGGTCCACAAAACGACACAGGAGAACTACTTCAGATGTGAGATCAATACTCTAGAACGGGGGAATGAGATTAATCAACATCTAAAGGGAAATATCCTCTGAATCCAAAGAAAATAACCCAATTTTAGGAGGAAACCTTGACAATCACTGACAAATTAAGGGTGTGCCCGACATTTACATTTTGAGAGGCTAGTTCAGATACAAGACAATTAGACTAAGACTCAAGAGGGCTGCAGAATCATCAGCATAAGGACTGATAACATTAGATGTACTGTGATGATGATTATTGATAAATAATGTGTTATAGTTTGAAGGAGACATCAATTATAACACCAAAATAAAAAAATGAACCAAGGAATACACCTATTACGTCGTAAAAACTAATAAATGTAACTAAGGATAAGACAAAGATGAAATATAATTTGGAAAAGGATAACCTGAAGTACCACAAGAAATTTTCTGTAGTACTGTACAGTATATGTATAAGCAATTTTAAAACCAAAATTAACATAAAAATGTAACAACCCCTACCCCCACCCCACACAACAATGTTGTGCAATCAGCCTTACATCCCCTGCATTATATGGTTGGGAAAGTTGGGTTTGAAATCCAACTTACACACATTTCTTCCCACTAAAAAAAATATATATTTTTTGACAACTTTAAACATACTAGTATTTTCTAATATCATTTCCCTATTTTCTCCAGGCCTCTCCACCCCCATGATGTGGAAAGTAAGATAATAAATGAATGAAAAAACACGCAAATTATGAGCCAATGCCGGGCTCATTGATAAAGAATGTCTCACCATTTTTGGGTCACCTCTTCCACCTTCAAGAGTCTTGTACGTTCCATTCACCTGGTGTAGCGCCAGCTTCCCTTTCTTGCTCGTCTTACCGAGGTCAGTGATCGGCTCCTTGTACACTTCCACTCCTTCACCATTAATTATGGCATAACTGCACTTGTAGGCACATTTTTGGGTGTCACGATCAACCTGCAATATTTTTTAGACTTCGTATACTGTTCATTTATAAGCTCTAATTAATGTGACTGTTCAGAATAGGTTAATGCAAAGGCAAAAAAAACAGCGTAGAATGTAATGAAACGCCATTTTCTGAGTGAGCCCCGAAGGCTTCCTGAAGCTATCCAAACTGACATGTCAGTTTGGATAGCTTCAGGGAGCCGATGGGGCTCCCCACAGAAAACATAGTAACTCAAAGTACAGCATCTTTAGAAATGGAATTTGTTGGTCAAGAAGATTCAACAGACTATCCTTGAAAGAATAAAGATCAAAGGTGTTGGGGAAAACACAGGGTGGTTGTCTATTCCACAATATTCTTGTGAAATAAGAGAAGAACAAAAATCCCCAAAACACGATGAATAGGAAAAGTTGCTGTATTATGAGTACTGTGTGATCACACTTGGTTGTAAAGATCACTCATTTGTCAGGGAATTCATTTTGCGTCTCACAAAGGGGTCTCTTGCTTCTAGCAAAGGAATCTCCTGTCGCCCATTAATGCCCCCCCCCCCCCTCCCTACCTTTTGACAACACTCACCATGCACTAACACATGTTGGTCTCGGCTACATTTTCTTAATGCCCCTATTGTGTGAAAATATTTCATGCTTAAATTTTTTTTTTTTTTCTTGTGTGAGCTTTTCTTATCTTTCATTTCATTCCCTTTTATTTTTGCTTATACTTGTTAAGACATGCATCTTTCTTGCCATACATTTATCAAATGCTTTACAATTCATTTGAAAGAATATCACTGAAGGATACTTGCAAATGCCTGGAAACTATTTTACACAAGGCAACCCTTTTAAAGATGTGAAGTTCTCAAGAAAAATGCATCTGAGATATGATAAAAGAATGCAAAAGGGTAAATTACAATTGAATAAATTTTACCAGAGTTTAAAGTACTACATTTGGTTAGTGTGTGTGCAGTATTCAAGTAAGCAATAATATGAAAAGACCTTCAGCCAAGATGTAGGTCCACCATGTAATATGCATTTATACTGTAAGATAGACCCTTGTGAAGGGTGTAACTCAGTACACACACATAGAAACAGCAGTGTTAAATGTGGAAAAACCAATCTGGAACTCTTCCATTTGGAATCCCCACCAGTACAATAGGCAGTTGTGCACACGCGCAGAGCATTATTAGTTATACCTGTACTCTAGGGTACAGCTTTCAATCCCGTGCCTTACAATACTGGCCCAGCATGTTTGGCTCAGTTACTGCAAGTTATCTGGCTGTGAAGTAGCAAGAGACCTATAAAATTACAGTTGACAACAAATATGACACCCAATGCAATGCTATGAAAAACTTCCCCTTCACAACTAACTGCTCTGCATTATAGAAAAATTTAGAAAATATTGTATATGGTATTTCTTCACATATTTAAGAATTTCTCTAATCAACAGTATAAGGATTTTGAGCACAGTACCTTCTGGATTAGAGCTCCACCACTGCCGAAGACAACATTTGCAGCAGACCACCCGTGTATCTTTAAATTCTCCAAAATGGCTCCTGAAGCAGATTACAAATTTTAAATACTATATATTTAGTATATATGTACTATATGTACTATAAATACCACTATACATTTGACTATGGACCATTTATAAAAAGGCCAGTAAATAACCATCAATATAGAAGAAGATTGACATGTATATGCATCACTACTGTAATGAAATAATGATAATGTATGTATGAATGAATGTATGGAATTAATTTATTTTGATGCAAACACAGTCTATATGCATCATATATTATCTACTTCAAAATATGACAAAATTAATCATACAAATGAAGCTAGAATTCTAGGAGCAAATTCTGCATTAAATACAATTAAATTTGACACACAGAACATTAACAGAAAACTAAGGAGGAAGAACTGCAAGAGAAAGGAAGGTGATAGAATCCATAGGAAGTATTATGAAAATTACAAATTTGTCCATTATAAATGTTACCATGAGTGTGAGACAAGGCTCGAGTGACAGTATACTCTCGGGCCTGACCTGAGTGATACGTTGAGCTGGAATGAGTTATCTAAATCTAAAATAGAAGCCGAGGAGTTTAACAAATTAATGTAAAGAAAACAGTATAAACAATTGTGAACACTTAGCAGATGGATAAGTGTATGGAGGGGGTGTAGGATGGCCGAGAGGGCCACAGATACTGAATGACCGAGAAAGCCACAGATGCTGAATGAACGAGAAAGCCACAGATGCTGAATGACCGAGAAAGCCACAGATGCTGAATGACCGAGAAAGCCACAGATGCTGAATGACCGAGAAGGCCACAGATGCTGAATGACCGAGAAGGCCACAGATGCTGAATGACCGAGAAGGCCACAGATGCTGAATGACCAAGAAGGCCACAGATGCTGAATGACCAAGAAGGCCACAGATGCTGAATGACCAAGAAGGCCACAGATGCTGAATGACCAAGAAGGCCACAGATGCTGAATGACCAAGAAGGCCACAGATGCTGAATGACCGAGAAGGCCACAGATGCTGAATGACCGAGAAGGCCACAGATGCTGAATGACCAAGAAGGCCACAGATGCTGAATGACCAAGAAGGCCACAGATGCTGAATGACCAAGAAGGCCACAGATGCTGAATGACCAAGAAGGCCACAGATGCTGAATGACCAAGAAGGCCACAGATGCTGAATGACCAAGAAGGCCACAGATGCTGAATGACCAAGAAGGCCACAGATGCTGAATGACCAAGAAGGCCACAGATGCTGAATGACTAAGAAGGCCACAGATGCTGAATGACTAAGAAGGCCACAGATGCAGGATGGGAGGGAAAGCCAAAGATGTAGATTGGGTAGAGAAGGTCCAAGATGAGATAGTAGTTAGTGCAGTGAATTGCTCAATGACAGTTTAAATAACCATAGAGAAAAACTGGCTGCAAGTTTGCAAGATGCACAAGAGTATAATTCCAGTGTTAAAAGAGAGAAAGGCAATCATCTTCACAAAGTCAAAATGTACGATTACATTAGGCATAGTCTTATGTCTTAAAGGTATTTGATGTGTAGATAGGGGATGCCTGGATATTTTTATGTTGTCAATACCCCTTTAATGTAAAGCTCCCAAAAGCAGCAAGGTTTCGGCATCAGAGATAAAGACAGAATGTGCAAAAATGGCGTACACTATAAGGCCTTACATATTTCAGAAAATTAACTAATCAGTCTAGGATTCTGGTTAATACTAGCAAGAGATATATGATTTTTTTGTACAGAACTACTCATTACTCACCTATAGTTCTGTATGATATACCATCACCTTGAATCACTCTCACATATGGAGGAAGAAGTTTAAAGCCTTTGGAATTTTCAATTGTTCCATATGCCTTGCCAAGAATTTTTAAACACTGAAAAAGTGGTTATAAAATATATGATCAAAGCAAATGTATAAACTTCCAATTAACCACTGCACTGCGCCAAACAACAAATGTCCTTTTGAGAGTTGTGCATTTTTTTTTTTACTTAGGCGATATTTTAATGTTATTTAATTTTTCAGCACTCTGTGTCTTGAAATGAAAATAGCTGAGCTTGAAAACATTGTCATTAAATTTACCTTACCATTTATAAAAACAACAAAATATGTCCTTAACAATTGCACTATGAAGTTTTTTCCCAAAACTGGTGTGCAGTGCAGGGGTTAATTAATAATAGATTTTCTACTAAAATCATTTATACTTTAGCATGTTAAGGAAGAGCCTGAAAGGGAAGTACAGTAATAAGCAAGATGCATGCACTGTTGTCATAATACCAGTAGCCATAACACATCATCTGGTCAAAATACACAGTACAGTGTGGAGGTTATCCAGCCTAATTGGGACATCCAAGCATACAGATAACTAAAAAGCCGAATAATCGAATAAAGTCATTTTAAATTTATTTTAACAAGACATGTGCTAAAAATAGCTGAACGGTAATAGTGTTTAAACAGGAATGCACATGAAAGAAACCAATTAAATCCTTATTATTTGGTATATGAAGAAAATGCTCTTCACCACCAAATCGTGACCAGGGGCCAGATTCACAAAAGCACTTACGAACATTTACATCTTTCCTCAATCTTTGATGGCTTTGGTTACATTTATTAAAACAGTTTACGAGCATGAAAATGTCCCATTTAACTGTTGTTATTGTTATGAACAGCCTGCTGGTGCTTCGGCGCTCATTAACTGTTTAATAATTGGAAACAAAGCCACCAAAGATTGAGAAAAGATGTAAAGGTTCGTAAGTGCTTTCGTGAATCTGGCCCCAGACTCCATGGATATATTTACCAATATTTATCTGATGGCCACCATCTCTAATGGCTACAACGGGGCTCAAGAAGCTGGTGGCTTGTCAAACATTCTCCTATTATTGGCTCTAACCCCAGTAATTGGTTAATGGAGGTGGAGAACCAGAAATTTCTATACTATCTAGATAATCTTTGAATTCAGAAAAATGGGGTATCCAGATAAGAATTCCACTGTACTGTTATTTTGCATACAACTTTTTACTAAACAGGGAAAAATTATTTATTATTTATTTGTATATACAGTACAAGAAATTACAATGGGTTTTTAAAAATACATTTGTTGGTAATTAATTGGTACACTTTTGCAAAGCCACTAGCATGCATAGCATTTCAGACAAGGCCCTTAAGCTAACAAGTACATTGATAGGTATACTGTAACAGAATTTGAATTCCCATAATAGCTACCTTAGCATAAAGTGATAAAATAAATTCTACTGATGCAGTTGTATTCCTACATTATAATATACTGGGTAAGTGGGTAGCACAAGATACTGAATTAGTAGCACAAGGTGGGATGGGATACTATGAAGATGAAATTACGTACTGGCACTTCATTGTTCTACTTCCGAATGTTCTACTTCTGAATGTTCTACTTCTGAATAGTTCTACTTCTGAATAGTTCTACTTCTGAATAGAGTATAGACTGGAAATATGTTTAATTCATTAGGGAATTCCATATTTTGGGTCATTTTATTTGCTTGACATATTTGCATAGATTTAGCCTGACATTGGAAACATCAAAGAGGCTTATTTCTGATGTGATGCTCATGGGTCATCATCATCTATGAAGTTTCAAGACATGATTAAAAATTAGGAACTAGATTTTATACATGTAAATAGCACATGAGAACTTATGGAGTGAGAGTATGTTTAGCATGCTAGAAATTTAAACAGTGTGTTATCTGAAGATAGAATTTGTTATAGTTCTGATATCTGATTTTTGCTGGATGATGATGGGCTTGAGGTAGTTTGCAGTGGTAGAACCCGATGCACAGATACCATAAGTTAGAAAGGAATAAATTAGCGAGTCGTATTGTCAAATATAAAGTATTATTTCCCCTTTGGTTTAAGACATAAAATGCTGGAATTCATTTTACAACAATTCTTAAACAAATAATATCCTACAATCATTTAGGATTACATATTAGAATTATGCGACCATATTCACTTTATTCTTTTCGTATCCTGTGAGCAAGGCATACAAACACTTTACTGTATTAGTAAATACTGTGGTGCAAAAATAAAATGTATAATATACCTTGAGTACCACACTTGCGGGGTCACCACTGTCTGGCCGGATACACAAGGCTCCTCCGCTCTTGCCTCTCTTGATCACCAGGTCTCTCAGTTCCTCTCCCCAGATCTTTTCGCAGCAGTTCCAGATGTCGTACGAGTCACTCACACAAGCTACCACGCCTAATGAGACAGACCATAATTATACACCCGAATACTGTACTTTCACATCTCTCATGTACAGTATTGAATAAATTGAATCAAGTATTAGCTTTACGGTATTTAATATAGTTATTCAAACAATGACTTCCATTCAAGTTAATTAATAGTTCCTAAATACAACATCAACAGCACTAGCAAATGAGTATTATTTTGAATACTGCCATCTAGCATATTTAATACCAGTACAATTAACAGAACATTTCTATTGTCTAAGTACACAATTTGTAGAAGAATCTCAAATAGCACTCGAGCATAAATTCAAAGTTACGGGACAATGTCAACATTATACTCAATAAATTGAAGCACTTTTAAGTACAGTACTGTAGTGATAAAAATTTAAATATTTAGAGTATATTTGGGGCTTTGTTAATTTTTATCTTTTATGAATAGAAAATATTACCACCAAATGCTCTCTAGAATGAAATGGAATATTATTGCATACTAACAGCCCACTTCAATCAAAGCTGGAGAAATTGCAGACCTAGAGAGCATGCAAATATCTTTTACTGCTAGAATCCACTCAAAAAACCATCTAAATTATAGGGACTCCTTAAAAGTGTTTAATCTGAATTCCCTACATCACAAGTGGGAGAGATGCACAATAATTTAAACTTGGAAAATATTAACATAGCTGGTTCCAAAACTGAATGCATAAATAACACAAGACCAGAAGGCATAGCAGGATGTAAAAAATAGTCCCACAGAAAAGCTGAGGTGCAACTGGAATGCCAAGAGAGAACTTGATCAACATCAAAGGCCCAAGACTTTTCAACACTCTCCCTCTACATGTATGGAGCATGACTAGCTGACCTTTCAGTGTTCAAAAAGAGAACCTGATAAAACACATTGAAAGGATACATGATCAACCAGGCTGTAACATTTTACATACATCAGGCTGCAAGCCACCGCATCAAACAGCCTGATTGACCAGACCACGAACCAGGAGGCCTGGACAGAGACCAAGCCGTGGGGACATTGCTCCTCGGAATCACTGGCAGGTTAAAACTTTGTACAGCAGCCGATTCTCAGCATTAGAGCCACTCATGCAACTCTTTCAGATCCAGCACCTTAGTCACAATTTGAACACAAAGCTGTTCCAGCCTAGCATGAAATTGGTGAAGGGTGTCTATACACATTTTTGAGGTTTACTTCACACCATCTGGGTAAGACTCCATTATGTTCCGAAAAGCATTCGCCTCGCCGCCCCGCCCCCAGGTGGTGATTGTGGAATGTTCAGATGCTGGGATGGAGAAAGCCGCAATAGGCGAATTGTAGTACTTGCGTAATAAAGACAGCGCAGCAACAGTGTCTGATCCCTGCAATTCAAGAAATTGATACCTTAAGAGAAATGCAAAACAAAAATTTACTGCCAATTCAAATCAAATAATTTTCCCAATTTACTTTTAGTGTGAAAGGAAGCAAATTTGTTGTCATTACAGCAGCTGAAGTAAACACCAATTGCTAATCATGGTGGTGGTTCAACAATATTGAATTCCTTGTTGTCACCATTAAATCTTTTACACATTAAAATCGTCACAGTAAATGTTAAATGATTTTAATGATTTCACATGCTGAGTTCAACCAAGTACTGATCAATTAATTCCCTTGTCAACTCAAACCATATGATTATAAAATGAAGTGCAAAGGATGAAAAAACTTAGATTTGAAATGGGTCAATCAACATCAACACAAGACATTTAAAATTCAATCAACGTTAACATGAGACATTTAAAATCTAATAACATCAACACGTGACATTTAAAATTCAACCTCTTCTATTATTAAATTTATAATTGTGGCATTCATTGAATTTATTGTTGTCCGATACAATTATGTGTAGATTAAATTACGGGACTTGGAAGTCATGGATAGCAGCAATCTGAGAACAAGACAGCAATGCATCAATTCTCAAAATAAAACAAAAAGGATGCTGGGATTTATGGGAATCAACATCACTGGAAATACAAATATTATTCTTCAGGTACAGTATATGGTTTTCCAATAATTAGGACAGCAACCCTGTTAAGTTTATCAAGGTCCCAACAGGCTAATGACGGTCCTTTCCCAGGATGCAACTCACAGTTGCTTAACTCCCAGGGTCCAGAGTCACGAAGCAGTTACACAAGCACTTACGAACCTGTACATCTTTCCTCAATCTTTGGCGGCTTTGTTTACAATTATTTAACAGTTAATGAGCTCTGAAGCACCAGGAGGCTGTTTATAACAATAAGAACAGTTGATTGGGAAGTTTTCATGCTTGTAAACTGTTTAATAAATGTAACCAAAGCCGTCAAAGATTGAGGAAAGATGTACACGTTCGTAAGTGCTTACGTAACTGCTTCGTGAATCTGGTCCCAGGTATCTATTCACTGCTAAGTGAACAGGTGCATGAGGTGTAAGGATATGTGCTCAACAGTATTATCATGTTGGGAATCACACCCAGAACCTACCAGTTATGAGCTAACGCACTGACCATTATGCCACAAGACTCTTGGGCTATATACTGTACAGTTCTGGTTGTCATACTACAGACTGGACATTGACTGTCTTGATAAAAATACAGAAAAAGACAACAAGGTCAATACCAAGTATTAGGGACCTTTGCTACGAAAACAAGTCACAATCTGTGGTTGATGTAGAGATAAAGGACAAAAGAGGAGAATATCAAGGTTTTCAAGTGGTTTAAAGCATAAATATTCTAAAACTATCAGGACAGGTCAGAACCTAAAATAATGTGTGCAGGCTGGGGAAATTTAGTTTCATGAGGGATACAGGAAGTAATGGTTATGGAATAGGGTGGTGGATGAGTGTAATGAGCTACCAGTTAATAATAAAGTATTAACACAAACAACTTAACAGGTTTCCAGAATGGACTGGACAGGTGTATGGGCAAGTGGGGCATTGCTTTAAATGGAACCTTTCTAGTATGGGCCAATGGGCCTGCTTCTGAGTAAAAGGCCTATTTAACATTTAAGCTGTTTTCCAGAAATGTTATTCTATTTTATCAAAACCTTGGATATCTTATTCCTTCATGTAATTGCACTTGCTAAAAAGAAGGCTGAACCTGTGTAAAGTCTTCCTAAGATATTTTATCCATCTCTATGTCTTAAGGTCCCCAGAAGAAATACTTTAACAAGTTTAAACGTGAGTTTAACATACTAGTGCGACATGCATACATGAGTAGCCACCACTTCTTGTGTGTGCTACGAGACAAGAATGTGTGGAAACATTGTGACAAACTTGGAAAGCACAATCAAATGGAGAAAAGTACAAGGAAACAAAGAAAACAAGAAGGACTAAATACTGTATACATCAAAGCATCCCGACTGACTGACTGGTTTGTTGGTTAAAATAACCCTGTCACCATAACAAGAAGACCATTAGTGTCTATGAACTTGGGCAAGTTAAGGCAACTGAAGGTCACAGAGATAGGGCATCATGAATGATTTCCATCCTCCAGGAATCTTTCAAAGTAAACCTTCACTACCTGTTGGCACGCCCTTGGGATTGTCTTCAAATTCCTGGTTCATACAACATTAGGCAGGTTTTAAAACCCTCCTCAATGGTAGAAGTCTCAACAAGGCGGATGCAATCACTTTCAATGGTTAATTTTGGCCATCACTCAAACTGATAGAAGAGGCCAATTAACTTAAGATATTTAGTTCAATGACTTTCTATCCATTTTTTTAACAATAAAGTAATACCTATTATGTACAACTTTCATACACAATAGGTATTATCCCAATCATGGAATTACCAGCCAACTTCCTACATCTATGGTAGGGCCATTTCTCCTGCTACACCTTGGGGGTAGTCTCAAGTTTGGTTAGCCCCCCAGTAGAAGGATCTTCAAGACGATAATGAACGAGTCTGGTTGCCCACCATATGAACCTTAGAAGGAATCTTGTACATAAAACTTTGTATAAATGTACTTTCCTGTGGCCTACCCCCACCCCCTTTCCTCGTCAACCATAATCAATCAAGGGAAGGTATATGCACTTCCGGTGTAGAAGATTTGACAACAAAGGTGGTCTAAGCTCTTTAAGTAGTGACTAACCTTTAAGGATACCCAGCCAGATTGATATTGCAAAAGAGAGTAACAATGAAACTCCTGAGATACCTGGTCCACCTCTTACTATGAAAGACTTTGCTGATTATTAGCCATATATGCTCTGAAGGATATTAACCCTGAATGCAGAAGTTGGTAAATCATAGGATCCATGAGGTGATGACATGTCACCATAGGAATCAAAACTTTACAGTCAAGCATATCAATTTTATTTTCCCAATCATTAAGTGCTTGACCTACTAATTCTTCAAGCTATCTAACACCATCCACATGTGGCTAGTGTCGAAACCACAAGATTCATCTAATGAAGAGTCAGTCAACAATCCAGGTTGCTTGGTTGCATGGCTTACCGATTGCCTGCCTGCCTGTATTTTTTAAGAAATTTGGGTCCATTGGAAGGGAGGCATGGTGAATATGAGCCAACATATATTCTACTGATGTAGTACAGTATTCTGCCACACCCACATCAAATATTTAGTACTTTACTTTAGAATTATAAGTGAACATCTCTAGAATTTAAATAGTTGTACACATGGAAAATTTTGGCTCTGGAATCTCTCTCAGTTTTCAACATGGCAATTAATGAGAAAATATTTTTGTTTGCAGAGTATTTGATTTGACTCTCAAACATATTTTGTGAATCGTCTCACATGTGTTAGGCGAGGCTTGCCTTACTGTGTTATATAGATGATGCTATCAATTATCACTGTCCAGCTACTCACCTTAAAGTTTACTAGATGGGATGCCCCACCAATGGCAGCACTTTCTACAGATGATGCTCCTCGGTATCCAAAATCATGCAGCTGAAAAATGAAAAGATTTATTATAATTCCTGTTGGTGGGGACAGGTAGCCCGTACATAGGCTTATTGAGGTCCCTGTATGTCTACTATAAACCTTCCCCAGGATCCAACCCACAAACAGTTGCCTAACTCCTTGGTACCTATGTACCTATTTATTGCTAGGTGAACAGACGAATTAGAAAATGTGCTGAACCATTTCTGTTCCACCAGGGGATTGAACTCTGGATCTTCAATTGTGAGGCGAGGATAAAGACATCTGTACAGTACTATAAGATCCTTCTGTATTATGATTTGTGAGTCTTGGCTCAATCTGCATTCCTCATATCTAAAGATACCCTCCTGAGACAAAGTATGATTTATACATCTAATAAATGATCTGTTATTGAACTTCCAGAAGTAATGAGGTGAATTAAGAATGTTTAATTTTTCTCCTATCAGTTAAAACATCACCCATGAAGTAGATTTCTTACTGCAAATGGAAGGGGATCCAAGTTGTCATGTGTATCCTCCAGGTACCGATGAATTATTTGCTTTTGAATCCGAGAATTTGTTGCAACTGTCGTGGGGTACCATACTTGAACCAATAGTGTCTGTAATGAAATTGTAGTAAAATTATTTAAACGCAAAACTGTTATTAGTAATATTTAAGGAAATAGCCAATATATCAGAGCTAAAGGTCTAAAGATTTACCATTAAGTAGAAATGAGAGAAATGAGCAATAAAAATGTGAACTAAAGCTAAATGCACTGGAAGAGAGTGGGACAAGAGGTGATATTACATGTAAAATACTAAGGAAAATAGACAAAGTGAATAGAAACAGTCATTTTAAGGGGAGGGGGAAAACAGAACTAGGAGGGCCAGAGGTGGAACATATCCACAAGGGTTCATTTGATGCATCATGCTACTGTGATTTGTGTGTGCAGAGGTGGAAGTTGGAAACACAGATAAGCCAAAGCAATTTAAGGAAATACTTGTTGGAAGCAAGAGCAAGTTGAATGAGCTTGAACCAGAGATTGTGGAAGCAATCATCATTCATAGCTTCAAGAGCAATGGAATGCTAGCAGGCATAAATGCACTTGGTACAATAGCTATGAGGTGGTCCTCAACAGCAGACCTCAGTACCCATAGACACAGCACCTCAGTAAGCAATGGAATCAATGTACCACCAGCTGGCAGTAATATAACCTTTTCCTCACAAAAACCGCATACTACCTCAGCTTTTTGCCACATACTGTAGAAAATGCTTTATTGCCTGTCTTAATTAAATTATATAAATACTGTCTATGCTCAATAATGCAAATTAAATGCAGCCCAACCCTATTCGAATTAGCAAGACATTCAAGTTAGGTGAAGTTTTTACTGGGAGTGTCCAGAAATGAAAAACTATAATTTATTCGGGTTTTCATTCAGCAAATTCTCAGTAATCTGAATCCTTATTCAGGTTAAAAGGTCACAAACTTGAACGTGAATTCATGCTGATTACAAGTGGATTCAGGTTACTGGAATCTGAATTACTGACAGTTTACAGAGCATTATTCCAATTGAAAGAACAAAGCTCCCATATTTCAGCTAAAAGGAACAAGATCTATATGAACAATAAGGAATTATAGTGCGACACCTAATTTGCATATACAAGTTAAAGTCATACCTAAAACTGAACAAGGTTCAGGAAAGGTATTTACTTCTGTGATATAAAGGGAAAACTTCAAATGCAATGATAAAGAATTAACATATTCACACTATCTGGGAAGCTGGTTAAGAAAGGAGCTAGATGGAATAAATCAATTTTCAAAGAGATATTATACAGTATGATTAATGACAGAAAAGTAACAACAAAGGCCAGTGCTAAAGAAATTATTCCATATACAGTATAAAGTTTTACTGTTCTATTTCTTCAACAGTACACAAGAAATTTGTAATAACAGAATGGTGATGGTTCACTTACCTCGAAGAAGTTAGTGACCCAAGGTACCATTGGGTCCGTGCTTTCAACAGTAAAGAGAACATTTTTTGTGGGGACGACTGTTCCCTCGGGTACAGCACACACACGTATTGGTAGCCTTCCACCATGTCGCTGAGAAAGCAACGCAGAATTCATAAACTCTCTAAATATAGGGTGTTCAACATACTGTACTTTTCAATTATATCTCTATTAAAGCAGTCACAGACCTAAAGAAAGGGGTAGAAATACAACTGCAAAAAATTGTAATGCCAAGATTTAAAATAATGCCACCAATGTCGTTAACCTAACTCAAATGCAGTGTACAGTAACTAACATGCTTATCAATTATTCATAGTGCAGTATATGTATTGTACTTCCAATATAAAGATGGTATACATATTTTTTGTTTTTCACAATGTAAATATACAAATACTCTGAATATAGTGCTCTTTGATATAAGTAAAAGATTGAAAATTTGTAACTTAAAAATAGACAATTGCATACAAGTACAGTGGTAACTTGGTTTACGACTGCCCTAAATAACAATTTTTTTGGTATACAACATCAAATGCCTCGTAAAATTTGAATTGGTGTATGGCGTTTGCATTGGAATACGATTTGTCTGTTGATACCTGTATGGGTCGAGCAAGCGTGTGGTGCTGCTGGACGGTGAAGGGGGGTGGGGAGGAGAAGAGGTGTTAGTGTTTGCAAGGGGAGTCCCCTTCCATTATAACATCAGGAAATGATGACATTTCTGGGGTACTCTCTCCTACATTTTGCAGGCATACCACTAGGACCTGGTTATGGCTCACTGTTTGCTTGTCTTACTAAGAATCTGTCTTGGACACTTGTTTTTTCCCTGTTTTAACACTTCTGTAGTGAGACATCACATTCATTCCCTACGAATGTTCTCTTATTTTTCTTCTATCGTCTTCCTCACAACTATTTTCTTATGTTGAACTTTACTACTGACTTTCTTGGGTCCCATGGCATGAGATACTGTATAAAAATTACTTTTATGTTCAGAAACCAAAAAAGCACAAAACAATTAAATTCTTCACACAGAATTCAAGCACGATCGTCATTAGGCGGGAGACCCTGGTAAACTGAAGCGTACCTCGCCAGTGCCACCAGGAGCCACACACTCAGTCAACCCATATGTATATCCACAAACACGCCAAGCGAAGCAAAGCTCGTATACCAAGTCGAATTTTACAAAGAAATTGAGCTCGTAAACTGAAAAATTCATAAAGAGGGGGGGGGCATTAGTCAACTGAGGTTCCACTGTAGTTTGTCAAAGGTATTGCCCTACGAATGAAAATGCATATCATTACCACTGGTCTCAGTTATTGAGATATCCAAGCCTAACGAGTAGATATTTTTACATGCATAAAAAAATCTACAGGCCAAAATAAGAAAAATATTTTACTGCTGCACTTTAAAAGTCTATTGTATCATTTAATAATGCTAATGAATGATTAATGCCATAGATAGATATTAAAATTCTATTTAATTAAAAATGCCTTTTTTTCTATACAGGTAGTGATGTACCATAGGCCTGATGTAAAATCAAGAAATATCTTAAAGAAATGGAAAACTAAAATTCATTGTTACTTTTAGCTAATTACGAGAAAGATCATAACCAAGAACATGAACCACACTCCATCATTATTTACTCGGAATAAAGCACCACAAATTCCAAGCCTCACACTACAAAAAGCCCGAGGAACTGAGCCACACCCACTAATCAATAGTTATTACCAGCATGTCCACACCACTAAAGGCTAGACAGTTTATGGTGGGGGAAGGGGGGGGAGGGTGATTTTATTCTCTCGTTAACTGCTAAACTAATGTAAGATTAATGTGGGGGACCTTTGACAATCCACCAGCTTCCTGTCCCTGTTAAAGCCACCAGAAATAGTGGCTCTTAGGTAAATTCCTGTAAATTTAATTATTTTACATTAATGGATCCTGTAGCATAGTGGTCTACATCCTCAGCTTACAACTGAGGAACCTGGGTTCAATCCTGGGTAGGACAGAAATGATTGGGCATTTTTCCCTTAACCTGATGTCTCTGTTCACCTAGCAGTTAAATGGGTAACCGGGAATTACACAACTATTGTGGGTTGCATCCTGGGGAGGGTCAGTAGTTGGCCAATGGGTGACCTCAATATCCCTAGGTACAGGCTTAATGTCCCCCAACAACACGACTTCTTATTACAGTATTTTTATTAAAAATAAGTTTTACTTAAAGCTGAAGAGGAAATTTGACGAGATAATTTTCCTGCTGTTTATTGTGTGACTGAAAAAATTAATTCTAAAATATATAATATACCAGTATAACCAAATGTGAGTACTGTACTGTAAATATAATGCTTGCTACATAATCAGAATACAAATTCATGATACACTTAAATTTAATTATTAAAACATTTAAATTAAGAAAGCTGGGACTTCAAGAACACACAATTTAAATATAAAAAAGCTAATAATTAACAATAGTCTACATAAAATTAAGTAATAAGATCAATGAGAACAACTATCACATAAATGACTTCATAATAACACTATCAAAACCACAAGTTCATTTCCTTCTATATATAAGAAAGCTTTACAAAATCAAAGTAAAATTAAAATATAGTTACTTAAACCGTACCATGATGATAAAATTTTAATTGAAATATTTTATTAAATAAAAATAATCTATTGTGCATGGAATATAATTCCACACAAACTCCTCCTGGTCACACAATCTTCTATCACTTCTCAAGGAAAAACAAAAATGAAAACGCCAAGTTCAAAGCACTCGCTCGCCTGCAGTGAAGGTGTTACGCTAATCAATCATGTGAGCTGTACACTATCACCACACGCTACCTGTGGCGGGAAAGGTTCAGCACCCAGTATTGATCTGTTTGTCATCAACAATATCAACCAGTAACTACTGTACACAGAAGGAGGGGGCAAAATTTTATTCCACCTAGACACATTCCAATATTTATATTAACAGCTGCTATATATACTGTATATATATGAACTGTACCCCATATTTTTTTCAAAATAAAGGTTATAATTAAAACCAAATGACAGGAAAAAGAGGGAGCAGAGTAAGGAAGAAATGGGAAGAGAGGTGTGGGTGGGTCAGGAGTCATGACATTGAGGAGACGGTAGAAAGGGCACGAGACGGTAGAAAGGGCATGAGGAGATGGTAGAAAGGATACGAGGAGTCGGGAGGAAGGGCAGTGAGGCATCAGGAACAAGGGCAGTGAGGCATCGGGAACAAGAGCAGTGAGGCATCGGGAACAAGGGCAGTGAGGCATCGGGAACAAGGGCAGTGAGGCATCGGGAACAAGGGCAGTGAGGCATCGGGAACAAGGGCAGTGAGGCATCGGGAACAAGGGAAGGCAAGGGCAGGGCAGTGAGGCATCAGGAACAAGGGCAGTGAGGCATCAGGAACAAGGGCAGTGAGGCATCGGGAACAAGGGCAGTGAGGCATCAGGAACAAGGGCAGTGAGGCATCAGGAACAAGGGCAGTGAGGCATCAGGAACAAGGGCAGTGAGGCATCAGGAACAAGGGCAGTGAGGCATCAGGAACAAGGGCAGTGAGGCATCAGGAACAAGGGCAACAAGGGCATCAGGAGGTAGGGTGAGAATAGATCTGGATAGGGTTATTCAAGATATAAAAACAAGAAAACTGTTTTCATTATCTAATAAAATAAAAATCATCTACCAAGTAAAAATAAATAATGATCCCCCTGTACATGTGGCCACCAGCCACAGAAAGTGATCAAATATAAAGGCAATATGAATCTTTTTTAGTAAATAGTCAGTTTGGCAAAATGAGCATTGATGCTTTAAACCTTTATCCTTCCTGAAGCCATATAAAGGAACACTTATTTTTCCTCATTATAATAAAACTATAACGTTAATAAAGATGAATCTTGTCTCATCAGCCATTACAATATTTTCTAGTCACACAACACGCACAAGTATTTCATAACCACAATCCTGGATGAGCAATGAAACCAAAATTAATCCTATGAAACAAAAAGGCCAGTCAGTCACTTTAAACACCAAGACATCCCACAACAATCAGTTATCACAGGATCTACGACGCGAAACCCCACTGATTCTCAGCGTCTAGACAAGGATGATCCTAATTACTAAAAACTGCCTTCACAAGACTGCAATTTTTTCATGCTCACATAAAAGACCTCAATGCTGATTAATATCTAACCAGCCACGCATGATGTTATTGTCATAGCATAATACCGTATAATACCGACTTTATATTAATTTAAACATTTCAACAGGTAATCACATCTTCAATCTAAAATAAATTGTCATAACAGTCAAATTACCTTCATGACAAGCAACTAGCCAACAATGCAACCTAAAAAAAAAAAAGGTCACAAGAAAATTACTAACACAATATCTGTCATTTGCCTTGAAAATCTACAGAAAGTCCTCTTAACAATGCTGCAAGTCATTTTTATGAAGAACTGCCCTTTAATTTTCAAAGCAGCCTGATACAAATACAATGAAGAGACTACATTATTCCATGAAATAAATTCAAGTGAAATTAAAAAACCAGACCACTAATGCATGATGGTACAGTACTGAAAAAGCTCGGTGAAGCACAGAATAAAAGCCCTGCACCTGAAATCCTGAGTGAACACATACCTTGAGGACTGATAATGCTCATCAAAACACTTAATTTATGTCAGAACACCAGCCATAGATCTTCTCCACCTCATTCATCGGTGCCATATGCTACCCCCTCCAAACAAAGGATGACATGCACACCCTCACCCCAACTTTTCATTCATCACATTAGGTCATGCAACATGAGACATGCAAAGCAGCTGTAAAGGAACTCGAATTTTCTTTTTTTCCCGCATCATAACATTTATGAAAGTTAATTGTCAATAATTACATACAAATTATGATAATCCACATGCTAGCAAATTATTACTGATCTAGATATGTACTATGTATATATAGCAATGACTACACAAATACTGAGTGGCGAACGATTGCATTTGACTCACTAGGTCAACTTTTACTCCTACAAAGTTATATCCATTTAATTTAGAAGATTGGAGGGATTACTTTGTCAGCATAACACCTGAAGAATGACTCCTCATAAATCATAAACAAATAATGTTTCTTAATCACAATATCTCCCTGGTATCATTGTAATCAAGTAAGCTGCAATATTACATAAACCCTTAATAATCTTAATGGTCTGGCATTCAACAATTATAGCAGAGACAACTTTAATTATAACCACTAAAGTAAACATTTCTTGCAAACCTATTTGAATATATAACTACTGTATATTGACAAGTGGTAGCTGTAAAAGCTACTACTACTATAAGACAAGCTACTGTATATTTTATAAAGTGGTAGCCTCGACAAACAAGTTACTGTGAAAATTATAAGGGTTAGGAGTCCCCACCATTAAATCATCAAGTGAATTGAATAAAACTCACAATCATGCAATATATATTTTCACAAACACCTAATAGACTATCAGTATTAAACATGCAGTGTGAATAAGGTGAATGAGCATGCAGTTAGATATAATACATGTGGGGTAGATCATAGGGTATAAATGAGTTGATTTAGGATGCCGGATTAGCAGATAGTTACTTAGGTGTTCAACAGGTAGGGAATTGCAGGTTTGGGATGTTTGGCATTTGTCAGAATACTTGACAGACGTCTGTGACTATAGGTATATGACAAGTGAAGGTGCCGAGTAAGTGCAAGTTGCAGGAAGAAAGTCATGCCAAATTGATCTGGGGGTTAGTGTGAAGGTTGGATTAAGTCACTGGGATCTGACTAAGTGTAATGTGGGTGGGGGTGTGAGGTTGGAATGAAGTTAATGGTTACTGAGCAGGTGCAAGGTGGGTTGGCATGATTTATGTTTTATGTTGGATGGATACAGCCCAGCTGATATCCTACAGATTGTTTATTTTTGTATGATGTTCTTTAACTTTTTAGGCTTCACTCTTTTTACAACTACTACAGTATTATTTTACTGTAATAATTACAAATAGTACTTATATACTTTGACATTATATTTTAAGGGATAATTTCACGTAGCAATCGCGTAACACAAGCACAGTACAGTATAAGAAACAATACTGGTGTTCAATAATAGCTCAGGAAAGAGTGTAATAAAATTCAGTAAAATGTGCTTAATAAGCTAGATTGTGATAGCCATGCTGACTGATGTGTTGCTAGAAGCAACAATCAGATTTATCAGGTAGTTACCACGACAGCCAAGCCTCAGCTAAGCTCTTCGAATAGACAAGTCCTTTCCTACCGGCAATTTACATACATGCTAAATCAAGCCGCTTTATTTCTTAAATAAAGACGCTAAAATATTAGTGCCACCTTATCAGTCTCTTGCAAGTACAGCTACAAATACTGTATAAGAAAAACTTCTTCAAATGAGTACAACATATTTCAGATTGTAACAAGTTCATTGTTACTCACTTCAAGGATGTAGTTCCAGCCCTCTTCATTGAATACATTGTCATTTTTGAAGTGAGCAGCAAAGAGTTCTTTAGCTTCCTGAATATTTTCCTTTGTTAATACTGGACCTTGCAGCCATCGTTTAAGAATGTATTGTAGACCAAAGAAAACAGTGTAAGGAAACCTGAGAGGAACGAATTATAGAAATCAGGCATGATATCTGCATAACAAAAATCCTTAATGCTACACACACACACACACACATGCTGAATTGAAAATTTTAAGAATACAAATAAAAGCACTGTACAGTTTATGCAAAATTTAAATCAAAGCTAAAGAGAAATATACATTAATCAAATTAAGACAAATCTGGACATATAGTACATAACTTATGACAACACACTGATCAAGTCATGAAGAATGACTACAAGAAAGTGTGACAATAATGCAGTAGGCAAACAAAAATAACATACATTTCTGTAGTTGATATGGTTGATACGGATTTTGTATTAAGAACATCAAATTAGTGCGAGTGAAAAATTTGCTTACTGTAATGTACTTTCGAAAACATGTTTTTATTAATTTCAATACCTGTACTGTTTAAATAAAGGTCAGAAAAAGAGATAGGTCTACTCAAGAGGACATGAGAAGGCCAAGAGATAAATTATACAGAAAATCCTTATGTTAAAACATTGTGATAAAGTACTCTTATATATTGAAATTGGTCCAAAAATATTATTAGTAAAGTTACAGTTACAGTACCTTCCCATCTTTAAATTGTCAGGGGGAACATACATCTACATTTGATAAAAGCATTTTCCTATATTGTCAATTTGTAGGTTTCCATTGTACTGCATTAGTACAGTATTTAAGATACATGTACAGTACTGTATATAAGGTATTGCATTGGCTAGATACTGGATAATGTACCACTATAAGCTAACAACCTAACAGGAGCACGTGGTCCAAAAACACAAGCTCACTTGGATAGGGCAAAAGCAAATCATGATATTGACTCGCATCTAGGCAATACTGCCTGTCGCCAGGTTTTGTTTGCCAGTGGAAACTTAAACTAACCCAATAAGTCCTTTGGCTGCACTAGGGGATAATGGTATAAACAAAGAAAATGAACTTGTGATGCATTAACCCTTAGAGCATACGGTGAATCATGGGGGCATGTCGATTAAAACTACTGTATTATTCTCTGGGTTTTACACCAATGATGCTATGGTAATATAATAGCACTACATGGATATAGTAGAGTTTACCTTGACCCTTGAAAAACAATCGTATCATGATTACCTTACTATGCAAAAGTGGTTATCATTGCAAATCTTACTATGCCTATGCAGTAATTGTCATGGTACAGGTATAAAATTTCATAATTATTTTATATGTATTGTATGTATACTGATTATGGTCATATGGTTTTCTCAACTCTATATGGCTGTAAGAAATTATACCACATCAACCAATCATCATTTGAACATGATAAAGGAACTGCGACCTAGTGGTCCAAATGAGACAGCTCTTATTTTCTATCCATAGTAATAAATAGGAGCTATCTTGTATGGCTAATAGACCCAAATATGAATGAGTTTGGGAGGACATAAATAGAGGCTGCCTAGTATGAGCTATGAGGCAGCTCCTATTTATATCCCATGAAATTAAATAGGAGCTACCTCATATGGATCAATAGGCCTCATGCAGTTTCCTCTATTATTATGTACAGTAGTAGTAGGCATCCATAAGTCTCAGGAGACAATGGAAATGCACCCTGGTTGTCGGTCTGGAGTGGCCTCTCCAGGGCTCAAAGCCAGGGTATGTTGATACGGGGGAGAAACTGTTATGTACTTATTGATAAATACATATACTCAGTCATACAGACATAGCAATGAAAAAACGATCATCTAGACAACCAAGGTCAGTGATATCGTCTGGCTCGGGCAGTGTCTCCTGTGGATTTTTTTTAGTTTATTTATATATACTCTACAGTATATACAAGAGTTCTTATATTCTTGTAAATCCACTAGCACGCATAGCATTTCGGGCAGGTCCTTGATCCTAATTTTCCCCAGAAATCGACTCACCAAATCGTTCAACAACCAGGTACCTATTCACTGCTGGGTGAACAGAGGCTATAGTTAAGGACTGGTACCCGGTCAATCCTCTCCAGCCAGGATACAAACCCAGGCCAAAGCACTCTCGAAGAGCCAAGGTGAGTGTTTTACCACTGGGCCACAGGGACTGCTAAAGAGATTGCGAATTCTAATGTTGACAGACAGGGTGATGTGGTCTGCCACACACAGTGCTTGTTCAGTGCATCAAACAGGCTACAATGTAGATATTCAGTTTATTTCAACTTTTCCCTACATTTTCCATACAAATTATCAATTCTATATATAAAAAAGAAATTATTTTTGCATACAGTATATGCGAGCCCATCTTCAGAACAAATCCATTATCATAAAAAATAGCACCCCTTTCCCCTCAAACCAGCTGGATAGTTATCTAGAGATTTGTGATGGCCGGAAAAGCATATTATGGTTCCAGTAATACATGTAAACTGGAAAGCAAACCTTTGTCCTCAACAGATTATTCTCTAGTTATAACTTTATTGTATCATAAATCATTGATTTAAAATATAAAAAGTATATGCTGGAAAAGTTTTATTTGAATAATTTGCTTTCTGCAAATGGAATTCTCTGGTACACTGAAATAGTTTTGAATTCCATATTTCATATTACTGTCAATAATACACGGTATTAATGTAACCAAATGTAATGAAACCTAACCTAACCAAATCTTAACCTAAACTAACCATGGATAGAGAAGATAATAGTACAGTACTAATTATGTAGTTGTTCTCAATCCATTCCCGTGAGCATATTTCTTCCCCGAAGACAGGTTGGAATATGCACACCAAATAGATTGCCACATATTAGTGGTGAAGCAACCTCCTTAAATATGCCTTTAAAATAACTTTTCCAAATCATGTAAATATACAACCAGCTCCTCTTGACTTCCAAAATAAGCCCCTTGGAATGGACCACATAAATGATGCCATCACTTGGTGACTAAATAAAATGTCACCCTATGCAATAGTGAAAAAATCTGGAATTATGTTTCCACCAAACACTCGCCTATTTCTAAAAAAAAAATTACTTAGAGAGTTTTATACATGAAAAACATGTATAATAATATTTAAGAAATAATGAAATAGACTTACAAGCATGAAAAATGCAACAGTATATTTTATATGCAAATGCTTTCATCTTCTTGCTCAAGGCTCATTTACCATTTTCTGTTCTATAATGAACATATAATGAACATTGAGAAGTGCATTTCTTTCTCTAACTAGAGTGTAAAAAAAGAAAAGGTTAAACATATATCAATGAGAAAATGCAAATCAATGTAGGAAAATAAATAAGGTAGAAGTAATTTTTTTTACTGAATTGTATTTAGCAACTCAAATCCATAAAATTTCATGAAGCAAGACAAGATTATCTAGAAACATTCAGCTCTTAACAATTCAGTATGCCTACATCCACCAATCAAATTGCCCATATAGCTTTCCCAGATTTTCAGTTAAATTAACAAAATGACAAACAGAAAACCTTTCTCAAAACAACAAAGATAAGTTTAACATACCTGCCTCCACGTGACTCAAAATACGAGTACACTGATGTGGTACCAGGAGGGTAAAGACAGTGGTGAGAACTCTGAAACAAAAATGACCTTACTCTAAAAAACAGTAACAAACAGTACAACTAAATGACTGAATGAAACTAATGTACTCAATGTCTCTTAAGGAACTGAGCTCCAGCTCCTAGTACACTACCTTTCAACCATAAATTCGTCCCTGTAAAGCATCCACAATGACATTTCTTATACTGTATCTGCATTCAAATTTATACCTTATTATAAAATAAAATTTAGATTCATTATATCGTATTAAAACATGACAGATCATATGTAAATACAGTACGATGTGTATACCAGTACAAAGGTAGTACTGTAGAACATCTTAGTTTTATTTATGGGACTCCTACACTATTAAATTGGGTTAGGAGAGGCTACACTTAGCGAGGCTTTCTGTGGTAGTGAGGTCTGACTGCCTCACCACTGTCATTAGTTCTAGGATTATTGCCTTAGCAGTGAAATGGTACGGTATTATCTACTAATGTAGAGAACAGGAAGTCTCTTAGACCTATCAATGTCCCACTAACCATGGGTGAACTTGACAATGAACCCATCTATCTACTACTTAGAGCCAACTTCATTTAACATTGCTGACTGAATGATGCACACATCATTCATATATCGATGAATTATCATCTGCTATGCAACACCTTTAGCCTTAGGTAAAATTATAATCAACCATATCATGTCAAAGAACAATTGGGAGGAGAAGTATAATTTAGTGGTTAATTACTGTGAGGCTTTTGAGGGAACTACAGTATATTTAATTACATTAAGTTGGGATAATTCCCACAGCCATAATACTAGGCATAGTTGATGTAATTCATGATGCAGACTTCAGTAGTTTATCTTTTTAATCTACAGAACTAATTTTAGAAATAAGTTATTCAAGTTACATTAACATTGAGGGAAATTATATTGCTTGATCAAATTTCTGGGATTAGACAGTTAAAAAATTGTCCAACCCATGCCATTCAAAAGTAAAACCAAAAAGTACTTAATTTTATCCTTCAAACCTTGTGCTTCAAACTCACACTGTATCTTGTACTACCCACTAACTTTCACTGTAGTTATCTTTCTAACTCTCAAATAAAAATCATTATTATTATTATACGAAGCCTGCATTTGAGTTTATCAAGGTCCTCCTAAGGACATCTACTAATCCTTCCCCAGAATACTACCCACAACAGTTGCCTAACTCCTGGGTACCTGCTGAGCTTACCAATGTGAAAACCAATGTGCTCAATTATTACTGTACTGCCATGGGATCGAACCCTGGTCCCCAATTGTGAGTCGAGAAAGAAGCCAACTGTACTCTTGGACCCTCATCTATGGCACTATTAGACTATGGTGTAGAGGATAATAGACAGATCACTTATGTCAGGTTGAGCACCACTGGGTCTGGCCAGTAACTGGGTGGGTATGTTCCAACACTTTGATAAGCGTCTTATAATAATACCCTAGACCTTGATAAGCGCAACAGGCTTCAAACAATGGTATCCAGGTACTAAATATACCCTGGGCAGGGGTATACAGGTACCATTTATGCCCTTGCAAAGGGCAAGACTGTCCGCATGATCACCCATCCGGCTACTGGTCCGTGGCTCTGCATGTTGCTAAACATGGAGCAATGCTCCCGACCGTGTCATCTATGACTGTGGTAGACACGTACAGGTCGTGTACAGACACGTAGAGGTCGTAGCAGACCCGAACAGATCGTAGCAGACACGTAGAGGTCGTAGCAGACACGAACAGATCGTAGCAGACACGTACAGATCGTAGCAGACACGTACAGATCGTAGCAGACACGTACAGATCCTAGCAGACACGTAGAGGTCGTAGCAGACACGTAAATATCGTAGCAGACACGTACAGACCGTGTACAGACACGTAGAGATCGTAGCAGACACGAACAGATCGTAGCAGACACGTACAGATCGTAGCAGACACGTACAGATCGTAGCAGACACGTACAGATCCTAGCAGACACGTAGAGGTCGTAGCAGACACGTAGAGGTCGTAGCAGACACGTACAGACCGTGTACAGACACGTAGAAATCGTAGCAGACACGAACAGATCGTAGCAGACACGAACAGATCGTAGCAAACACGTACAGATCCTAGCAGACACGTACAGACCGTAGCAGACACGAACAGATCGTAGCAGACACGTACAGATCGTAGCAGACACGTACAGATCCTAGCAGACACGCACAGATCCTAGCAGATACGTACAGATCCTAGCAGACACGTACAGATCCTAGCAGACACGTACAGATCCTAGCAGACACGTACAGATCCTAGCAGACACGTACAGATCCTAGCAGACACGTACAGATCCTAGCAGACACGTACAGACCGTAGCAGACACGTACAGATCCTAGCAGACACGTACAGATCCTAGCAGACACGTACAGACCGTAGCAGACACGCACAGATCTGTACCGAGTAGTCCCGTTCACTTCACACATTTCAAAAATTTAAGCCATTTTGTAGCCATCTCCTTCCTACAGCAGACTAATAAACACCAGCCGCTCCCCCATACAGACATTCCTGGCCACCGTCTTCCAAGGAAACCCCAAGAAATAACCCCAAAAGCCTCACTTTTACCTTGTACGAGTCAGCAAGCAGAATAACATTGTCAACAACACCTCCCTCCATGACTGCCAAGTGTCAACTGAATGTAATTCACGAAACTAAGCCCCCGGAGGCTCCGCCCACGCGGTTGCCAGATGCACGCATCGACGACACCCTATATACCTTATATAATATTATATAGGGTAATACCCTATATAATATAATATATATGCCACAGTATATACCCTATATAAGTCACCCTACACGGCCTGTTTTACACCTTACACGGCCTGCCTCTCACCCTACACGGCCTACCTCTCACTCTTACAAGGCCTACCTCTCACCCTTACACGGCCTGCCTCTCACCCTAGACGGCCTGCCTGTCACCCTACACGGCCTGCCTCTCACCTTATACGGCCTGACTCTCACTCTTATACGGCCTGCCTCTCACCCTACACGGCCTACCTCTCACCCTACACGGCCTACCTCTCACTCTACACTGCCTACCTCACATCCTACACGGCCTGCCTCACACCCTATGCGGCCTACCTCATCATTCTACATGTCTTCCCAAACCAGTTATCATTCCTCACGGATTTCCCCGAGCCTACCCTTCAACCTACACAGTCTAAAAAGTACCATACACGTCCTTTTTAATGAATAATTAAAATGGAGAGATACAGATTAAGGGAAAGTTTAGAAATGGGAAATGTAGAATGAGTTATGAGGGGGGAAATATAGAATAAGATATGAGGGGAAATGTAGAATGAGTTACAGAGCGGATCTCATCGAAACTTAAAAATACTGAACAGTTTGGAGGTTGTTGATCCGGACAACTTCTTCAAAATGTCAGATGTAACACATACAAGGAGCAACGGTTTCAAGCTCAACAAGCCACAATGCTGAACAAAAAACAGCAGATGCTTTAACCCATAGAACTGCCTACCCGCCGAAGCCTCAACTCAAAAACTGCTAAATTTTAAAATCCGGCTGGAAAAAATTATCATGACAAATTGGGGTGGGAGCTTTGATAAGCCGCCGGCTTCCTGTTCTCGTCGAGGCCCTCAGGTAAACTCAGGTAAACTCAAGTAGGAGTTACAGTAGGTTTGTTCTCTTATGCAATGAGCTGCGAGAGTTTGTGAGGTTCTTCATACGTATTTTAACATATATGGGGGTGTGTCTAGATGAATGCATTGTATTCACATATAGACACTCATGCTGTTTGTATATATGTTTTTATGGCCCGTTTAAGGGTATTTTTTTGGAGGGGATGGTCTCGGTGTCTGTCTCTCTGTCTGTCTGTCTGTCTGTCTGTCTGTCTGTCTGTCTGTCTGTCTGTCTGTCTGTCTGTCTGTCTGTCTGTCTGTCTGTCTGTCTGTCTGTCTCTGTCTCTGTCTCTGTCTCTGTCTGTCTCTCTCTCTCTCTCTCTCTCTCTCATTTGAACGTCACTTTCACTTTTATACAAATAATAATTTACGTTATTTGATACGAGCGTGTGGGTGTTTATCAAAGATAGCGCTTGTCTGAACAGACGAGCGCAGATTTGAACAAACAAGTGCGTGTTTGAACTTGAGCGCGTGTGTTTGAACAGGTTTCTTGTCTCAATAAACATACTTGAACTTGAACTTGTGGATAATGGACCCAACTCCTAGAAGTTTGACATTCAGTGCCGATAATGGCATAAGCATCACTAAGCGACCTCTGCCGTTGCGTCTGATCCTCTTAAACGGCGTGAAATGCCCTTATAGCGTGCAGGGCTCAGGGCCAACTCATGAGATTCTGAAAATTCTGGGACACTTCAATCACTTGTGCCAGATCGAACCTCTGAAACTGGAAAGAAACTGGTAAATACATAGTGGCATGAAGTGAAACGGAAATATGTAAATGAAACTTAGAGTTTCACATAAGATGCAGTTACACATATAGGCAGTTTTTTTTTTTATTATTATTATTATTTTTCTACCACAGACGTGGCCACACATTTACAATGCTAACCAGCATATATACATTTTCTTCTGTCCTCCATGGACAGGGTTAGAGAAATGTTAAACATATAGTTCAAGGGTTTATTGAACTCAACCACCACTACCATCCACGGGATGGGTATGGGGTCCACTACCACCCCATTCCGTGAACTTTGGCAATTATCACTTCAGTAATTGGAATGGAAATTGTTGGTAAATAAAGCAGTGATAGCGGGGGTGAGGGGGAATCAGGCAACTGGTATTGTGTTACATCCATGGAGGGAGGAGTATGGAGTTCGACCTTGAAGGGACCCAAGGCCCTCCATACGAGCTGAGGTGCAGGCTTCTTGTCCCCCATCAGCAGAAATTATTAACAGATAATTCGTAATAACGCAGCAGTTGTCTGACGCTATTTACTGTTAGAGTGAACAGACGCATCAAGAGATAGAGAAACGTGCCCAAACGTCTCCGCCCACACGGGAAACCAATGAATAGCACCTTCCGGCTATGGACATGTCTTTTCCCCTGAGACTGTATGGCAACGAGTCCGGACATAATAACTCACTCTTCTTTGAAGATTTGAGAACTCTTCCATTACCACTCCGTGAAAAATACACAACTATTTTGCCTAGCCAGAAGCCTCAGAATCTAGTCAGAAGCCTCAGAGTCTAGTCAGAAGCCACGGGCTCACCATAGCCCGTGCTACTTGGAACCTTTTGTTCCAAGTAGCAAATCTTAAACAACAACAACTCAGAATCTATAGGCTATATCCGCGTATAGCCTCATGAGCCGACACTCAATAATTCCAAAAAAAGCGTCAATACTGTAGTGATTTTAATTTCCATAAACCAATGCTATTTTTTTCGCTTGGGTCGATAGTTAAAATTGTATACACACGTATGGTGTGTGTATGGGGGAGAAGGGGGGAGTTATATCAGGTGTGTAAGGGGGGAGTTATAGCAGATGTGTTGGGGTAAGTTACAGCAGGTGTGTGAGCAATGTTACAGCAGGTGTGTGTGCTCAGGGTCTGGGTGACAACTCAGTGACTGGGGAGGGTCCATATACACATTGCATGATGGAAAACATCCATTGCAAGGCCACATTGCAGCTCGCAGCATTATATCTGGATTTACAACACACGAACCGTTTCAAACATGAAGTTTTTTGTGAGTGTTAACGTTCAAAAACACCAGGTGTAGATAATGTATAATTATTTAGCACCGAGCTTGGCTTGTGAAGGAATGAGTGAATAAGCCAATGGGGGGGGGCAGAACCCCCATTATTCTTGATGGTGCTCCAAAAAGCAACCAAATGGGTGAATGAGTCAAAGTATCATGAGTAACTCCATGGGTGTGTTTGTTTACCTTTCGTCTTCTGTGTCAGCGGCCTCCCGACTCTATTCTTCGGTGTGTAAGTGTTGTTATACACACTTTGGTGTGTATTATGACACTTTGGTGTGTATTATGACACTTTGGTGTGTTCACAGCCCCCTGTTTAAATGCCTAAACATGCTAAACATAAACTCACTCCACATATTCTCTTGTGCCATTTACATGTGCAAAACCTTGTTCCTAGATGCAAATCCTGATCTGAAACTCTTCCTTGAGAGATGTAATAGAACCCATAATCAGGTGGTTGCGTGTGCCTGTGTTGCGTGTGCCTGTGTTGCGTGTGCCTCTGTTGCGTGTGGCTCTGTTGCGTGTGCCTCTGTTGCGTGTGGCTCTGTTGCGTGTGGCTTTGTTGCGTGTGCCTCTGTTGCGTGTGCCTCTGTTGCATGTGGCTCTGTTGCGTGTGCCTCTGTTGCGTGTGCCTCTGTTGCGTGTGGCTCTGTTGCGTGTGCCTCTGTTGCGTGTGCCTCTGTTGCGTGTGCCTCTGTTGCGCGTGCCTGTTGCGTGTGCCTACTGTCTTCATGTAGCTTCCCTCATGACATTCACGCTACCACTGAATTTACGAGGCAATGTAAAACACGTTCTAAGACGCAATTGGTGATGGCGAAGCACATGGGTACATATATGGTTCGGTCTTCTTCGAGTGACTGGCATTCTACGCCATGTCTACTCCTATGTAATGTAGATGTCACTCTACCCTTACGACTCCCACTCTACGTGATACGTGCATTGTTGTGTTGTATGTGTTGTATGTGTGTGTTGCATATGTGGCGAGTGTTGTGTGTCTTATGCAGGAAATGTGAGCGGTGTTGATCGTCAGGGTGACTCAGGATACGCCATGAGGGAGTAATGGTGAGATCAGTCCCCCCTCTAAGCTGCCTTGCAAGTGACAACTGCAATTGTTTACATCCACTCTACAGCTGTTTGCAGTAGGTAGCGGTCGGTTATATTACTTATCAAGCATGCAAATCAGCTGTGAAATGGAGTAATGTTCTTTCTGAATATTTCTCACTAAAATGAGGGTCAGACAAAGTACTGTTCCTTTCACTCTAAAGTACGGAAAACAGTACTTTTTCACAGTACTGTCTGAGTTAAAGTTTTCTGCTATGGTAGGTAGGACCCTTTATCTGCATAGAGTGTTTACACAGATTAAGTTTGACTCAGGGGATATCAAAGAGATATTTATTTCTGGTCATCCCCTGAGTCAAACTTAATCTGTGTAAACACTCTATGCAGATAAAGGGTCCTACCTACCATAGCAGAAAACTTTAACTCAGACAGTACTGTGAAAAAGTACTGTTTTCCGTACTTTAGAGTGAAAGGAACAGTACTTTGTCTGACCCTCATTTTAGTGAGAAATATTCAGAAAGAACATTACTCCATTTCACAGCTGATTTGCATGCTTGATAAGTAATATAACCGACCGCTACCTACTGCAAACAGCTGTAGAGTGGATGTAAACAATTGCAGTTGTCACTTGCAAGGCAGCTTAGAGGGGGGACTGACACATTTCCTGCATAAGACACACACACAACACTCGCCACATATGCAACACACACAATGCACATATCACGTAGAGTGGGAGTCGTAAGGGTAGAGTGACATCTACATTACGTAGGAGTAGACATGGCGTAGAATGCCAGTCACTCGAAGAAAACCGAACCATATATGTACCCATGTGCTTCGCCATCACCAACTGCGTCTTAGAACCTGTTTTACATTGCCTCGTAAATTCAGTGGTAGCGTGAATGTCATGAGGGAAGCTACATGAAGACAGCAGGCACACGCAACAGAGGCACATGCAACAGAGGCACATGCAACAGAGCCACACGCAACAGAGGCACGCGCAACAGAGCCACACGCAACAGAGGCACACGCAACAGATCCACATGCAACAGAGGCAGGCGCAACAGATGCTCCCTGCACTAACATCATTCATGGACGAAAACATTACTAATCCACTCCAGGTTCTAATTAGCTGACGGTGTGTGTTGCGTGTGTGTATTGTGTGTGTGTGTTGCATGTGTGTTGCGTGAGTAGCGTGTGTGTATGTGTGTTGCGTGTTGCGTGAGTAGCGTGCGTGTGTTGCGCAAGAAAACATAAAACGATACTCAGTAATGACTGGAGCTGTAAACCAAATTACACAACAATTAAGATAAAGGCAATTAGCTGGAAAATGAACTCACACACACATTTTGGGAACAATTCAACATGGAAAAAGCTGTTTATTGATTGCTTCATGGCGTTGTTTGGCGGTTTTGTGACAGCTGGGCTCCTGCAGGCCCAAGTGGTGACCGAGCCAAGATTCACCAAGTATTTACGTGTTCTTTTACGAAACCTGTTCATCTTTCCTCGATAACGACGGCTTAATTTGTATTTATTAAACAGTTTATTGTCGTGGACGACCTCTTAAAGCGTTTTGGAGCTCGTAAACTGTTAAATAGATGTAAACAAAGCCGTCTTGGTCTACTAAAGATGTAGAGGTTTCGTTAGTGTTGCCATAAGCGCTTGATATATCCTGGTCATCATGCCACAGTGAGATCTAAAACCTATGGTTTAAAATAGGTTAAGTTAGGCTAGGTTAGGTAATTGAATGTTAGGTCGGCATTCAATCCCCGACCGTCCACATGTGGTTGGCCACCATTCCTTTCCCTCCGTCCCATCCCAAATCCTTATCCTGACCCCCTTCCAAGTGCTATATTGTCGTGATGGCTTGGCGCTTTCCCCAGATAATCCCTTCCTCCCTTATCCAAGGTCTTAGGGGCACCATTCCATCCTCTACACTAATACTTATTTATCTGTCAACTGAGGAAAGCAAAATATTTACACAGAACTTTGTGAGATTAGAGTACCGAGTTGGATGAAAATTCCCAAACACTTGTACGTAAATTGTTGACCAGACCACACACTAGAAGTTGAAGGGACGACGACGTTTCGGTCGTCGTCCCTTCACAATCGACTTGAGAATGGTCCAGGACGGACCGAAACGTCGTCGTCCCTTCAACTTCTAGTGTGTGGTCTGGTCAACATACTTCAGCCACGTTATTGTGACTCATCGCCTGCACTTGTACGTAAAGGCGAGTTATGTCAGGGCTGATCTTATCGAACCTTTTACAATACTGAACAGTTTGGAGAATGTTGATACAGAATTCTTCTTCGAAAGGTCAAACAAGGAGCAACGGGTTCAAGCTCAACAAGCTACAATGTAGGATTGAGAACAAGAGATGCTTTTTCATCCTCATGGAACCGCCTACCCGCTGAAGCCGCAAATGACAAAATTCTGTTGAACTTTAAAATCGATTGAAAAAGTCCCCAAGACAAATAGGGGGTATCTTTGACAAACCACCGACTTCCTGTCCTCGTAGAAGCCACTATAGTGTTTTAGCGGCCCTCGGGTAAATTCAGGTAAATATGAAAAGTAGAAACTTTGCCAGGGTTTGGTAATCTGTGTCCACATACATGTTCTCATTTATTTATGGGTACAATACACATTCTCATTCTCTCATTCTCTCTCTCTCTCTCTCTCTCTCTCTCTCTCTCTCTCTCTCTCTCTCTCTCTCTCTCTCTCTCTCTCTCTCTCTCTCTCTCTCTCTCTCTCTCTCTCTCTCTCTCTCTCTCTCTGTATAATCTACCCAATAATAACCGCTACCTGACGTTGCATGTGTCCCACAGAGACGAACAAAAGTTTGCAGGAAATCCCTATTTTACTGATAGTCCGCACGTTATTGTCCTTTTTTTGGGGGGGGGGGATAAAGATGAGGTAGAGGCATAGGTGAAGGGAAGTATAGAAGTGGGAAATACAGTGAGAGGTATGAAAGCAGGCGGGCTGTCCGCCTTGCTGACACGATGTGCGGGTGTTGGCAGCTAAGCTAAGCTGGCTCTCTCTTGTCAGGGAGCTGTGAGTGTGTGAGAGGTTCTTCACATGTGTTTCACCATATATGGATGTCCATAGATGAATACTGTGTAGCATTCATATATACACACTCCCATGCTTCCACACATGTTGTTCTGTTTAAGGCTCTTTATTTTATTATTATTATTATTTATTGATTTATTCATACATACACATACATACATGTATATTTATATACATATATAAATATACACATACATACTCGATTTTTTCCAATTATTGGGGGAAGGATTTCTGGTCATATTTCATCTGGGAATTATGTACTGTGGGGCTGGGTTTTCATCTAGTAATTCGAGGCTCTTGGGCCACCAGCTGTGGGAGTGGGACGTCTCATCTTGGGCCACCAGCTGTGGGAGTGGGACGTCTCATCTTGGGCCACCAGCTGTGGGAGTGGGACGTCTCATCTTGGGCCACCAGCTGTGGGAGCGGGGCGTCTCATCTTGGGCCACCAGCTGTGGGAGTGGGACGTCTCATCTTGGGCCACCAGCTGTGGGAGCGGGGCGTCTCATCTTGGGCCACCAGCTGTGGGAGTGGGACGTCTCATCTTGGGCCACCAGCTGTGGGAGTGGGACGTCTCATCTTGGGCCACCAGCTGTGGGAGTGGGACGTCTCATCTTGGGCCACCAGCTGTGGGAGTAGGACGTCTCATCTTGGGCCACCAGCTGTGGGAGTGGGGCGTCTCATCTTGGAGTAATCTTTCTAACATTGGGTCCTCTAACATTTCGATGGTGTTCCACACCCTGATGGCTTGGGCAGTCTGATGTTCAGTGGCTGTATGTTCAGGAGTTCATGGAGCTCCTGGATTGTCTGATCATATGGTGAACTGTGTTTTGCTGCTCTCCTTAGCGCCTTATTTTGCACTGCTTGCAGTTTCTGCATGTTAGTTTTCTTTAAGGTGTGTAGTGGTACTGGGGGATACTCTAGATGCGGCCGAACTAGAGCCTTATATATGTGTATCTGAATGTTTGTACTGAGGTTTCGGAATCTCCTCAGTTTTCCTAAGGCTGCTTTGGCTTTGTTTAGTCGGCACCCAAGTAGCTGCCGATATTAAGCCTAGCAGTTCTGTTGTCTATAAAGCTGCAGAAAGTAGCAGTAAATCTCTCAGGAAGTCATAGTTCAGATATCTTATATTTTAGGTCTGTGTGCCACACTTTTGGCTTTCGAAACGTCTCTAAGCACTATATTACACTGATCTTTTTTCGACACTGCGTTGGCTATATGTTCGTAGATCAGGGCTATAGTTGTATGGGCCCCTCTGCGGTTTCTAAACCCATGCTGCCTGGTGTTATACTTCCCTTCCTCTTCCATGTACTTCACAAGTCTCTGATTGATTATGTATTGTCCTATAGTGTGGCAGGTAAGGCAGGGAGTGAGGGGTGTGGGAGGGTGGGAAGATGTGGGAGGTAGGAAGATTGAGAAGGAGAGAGGGAGGCCTTGGGGAAGGTAGACGGGGGAGGTAAGACGGTAGGGAGCTTCAGGGGTAGGAAGGTAAGGACACAGCCCCGGTCCTGAACCAGGTAAGTCCACTACGGGCTCAATATACCCCGTGCTACTTGCAACTTTTTGTTCCCAGTAGCTGAGTTTAAAACAACATCAGCAGGAAGGTAAAGAGGGAAGGGGGAGATGCTGAGAAGAAAATAAAGTGTGAAGGATGGGGGGTAAGAGGAAGGGGAGCAGCATAGAGGAAAGATATTTTTATCTCTCTTGTAGGACATGTGGACTCCTGTGGAAGACGTCGACTTCTATGGGGACGTGGGCTCCTATGAGGGCCGGGGACAATGTTCCCTACCAATAAAAAGGGTTCATCCAGTCTCTCCTGTAATTATCTAAGTGCAATTACCTACGTGTAGTTACAGTATGGTGTGGCTGTGTGCGTGTTTTGGTTGTGTCAAATCATTCCCAGTCTGATTGTGCTTCCCGGGTGAGGCCCTTACGTGCGAGCAGTTGTTGTTGTTGTTGACAGTGTTGCTGATGTATTGAGAGACAGAGATGTCTCTGATGAGAGAGATGACTGCTGATCAAGTAGGTGGGTCGGCCAACCACAGGGAAACAGCTAAATCACTCAAATACAGGCGACTGGAAGGTCAATACACCTTTGTTCCCATAGCGTCTGAGACGCATGGCCCCTGAGGTAGGAGCGTCTGGATTTTTTTTCAAAGAATTGGGTTTCAGGCTCGTTGACATCACCAGAGACCCAAGGGCTGCCAGTTTCTTGTTTCAGCGCCTCAGTGTGGCGATCCAGAGGGGAGACTCCTGCTGCGTCCTCGGTTCCCAGAAGCGGAAGAGCTCCAAGAGATCCATAGCCTTTAAACACTCATTGTATTAACCTATGTACATTTTGTAACCTTTAAAACCACTATATATATATATATATATATATATATATATATATATATATATATATATATATATATATATATATATATATAAATGTCTGCACGATACATTTTATCCCTCGGATTTTCAGGACGAAGTAAAAAAGAGAAGTAGGACAGTAAATTTCAGAATTATCTATGATTATAACCATCAAGCGACATAATATATCTTCAAGTTGGTTTGCACACGATCAACGTTCCAGAATCTCGTCGAAATTATGACACGAGAAATTTGAAGTTGTGTGGATGACGAGAGAGATTACCTTAATAATATAATATATTTCCCCTTACTCAAGCATTTGTCATGGTAGATGACACGCAAGATTTTTTGGCAATTTTAAGTAAAAAAAATATGTATACATAATTTGTTTCAAAAGCCGGCTATAGTGGACATTTTTTCCACCGCATTCGAGAATTAGCTTCGGTCATTGTATTTTCTCGAGTAAATATATTACTGAAATATTCTTCGTTTAGCAGTTAAAAGCAATTTTAGGATTTAATGACATTTCATTCCACAGAAATAAACATTCAATATCCTGGAAAGGTTGCAGCCATGTTCAAAGAGCGCTGATGCCCAACTGTATTTGCCGCTGCGTTCCATACGCTGTTGTAAGCCTCTTGTTGAATCACTTGTGACACAAAAGATTATTGATTGTATTTGTGTGGGTGATTAAATATGTATGTATATGTATATATGTATACGTATATATATGTACATGTATGTATGAGTATGTGTACATGTATATATAACATTAATAATTTTGTAACTAGCGTCAAAAGATTGTTATTTGCTTAGCTAAACGAACTAGAGGGTTCAGTTCCTGAACCGATTATGTGCCTCTGTAATCCTTTACACCACCGCTCACGGGATGGGTATGGGGTGCATAATAAAGAAAGAAATTGAATTGTTCCATACGAAATCTATGTAAACATAGAGTAGAACGCCCACTATGCTTGGTCTGCTAGTCACGTGCCATTTTGGTTATTAAAGACAATAGCAAAATAGTGGTGCAATATCCACCTTACACCTCTCATTACCCCCTAGCTCTACAAACCACACTAGTGGTACACTAACAAGGGGACCCAAGTGGAAACTTAGTACCCAAATTACAGGGACGTTAGAAAGAACTTTTTCAGTGTCAAGAGTAGTTAACAGATGGAATGCATTAGGCAGTGATGTGGTGGAGGCTGACTCCATACACAGTTTCAAATGTAGATATGATAGAGCCCAGTAGGCTCAGAAATCTGTACACCAGTTGATTGACGGTTGAGAGGCGGGACGAAAGAGCCAAAGCTCAACCCCCGCAAGCACAACTAGGCGAGTACAGTACAGCTTTGCTTTTCCATACACCAACCTCGCTCTTTCCCTTCACTCATAATCATGTTTATTGACATATGATAAGAGACCACAAGCCGGTTCAGGTGCTGTTAACTTGTTCACCGGTGTTGCTCTCCTCTCACAAGGTCCTGTGAACCAACGCTGTACACACAAAACAATTCAGAATGCATAACAATAATACTTTTGTAGTTATTCGTCATCTGCTGCTGCTTCTAAGAACAGTCTTATTCACTACTGCGAAACATACATAAATACATTTATTTATCGTGTGGCGCTTCCTATTTAAATAGGAAATTCAAGAGAAAGATAAGATGAGATAGGCTTTAACTGTAGATAAACCTGTTGCATTTAATTAATAAAGTCTTTATACAAGCGAGACAGTGTCTATAATTAAAGGCTACTCTCATCTTGCTGTTTCGTTCCATTGTTGTCAACAGGTTGTGGTCTTCACTATCAACTGTACCGAAGCAATAAATTCCTTTTGCAATTACTAATAGGCTTTGATGACCTCATTCTGAACTAACCCGAAATTTTGATGACCTCAATCTGAACTAACCCGAAGCTTTGTTATCATTACCATATTTACATAAGGGCCACTGAGACTAATGGCCTCGACGAGGACGGGAAGCCGGCGGCTTGTCGAAGATACCCTCCACCCCCCTTTATTTGTCTTGATACTTTCTAGGGGGATTTGTGAGTTATGATTTGAAGATATGATTTACTAAGCATGACAAAGTGCGTGTCAGAGCCACACGAACAGCCAGCAACAGGTGCTGTGTATACTGCTGCCACATCATGCTTCGTGACAAAGAATACCTCCGTGAAATCATGTTTCGTGTCAATTAATTTACGAGTTCTTTTTTTTATACTGTCACTAATACGAAAGTTTGAAGGTATTAACTCGAATTAACAGCTGGAAGAAATGCAAGCAAGCGTGCATCTGCTATGGCCTGTTGCACGTGTTTTTGTTGCAACCTTAACCTAATATTTTAAAGGTCTTAGTTTTTGTGTTCATTTGACGCTCATGAGGTTACTTGTTAAGGTCTTATGCACATTCTCAAGAAAAACGAAGAATAAAGGGTGACATAAGTGAAGTATATACAGTAAAGGATGAAAGGGTATAAAAAAAAGTTTTAAATATATCAACAAAATAGAACTAGAAACAATGACTATAAATCGGTTAATTTTAGATTCAGGAAATGGATAAATACAGATTTTTTTTAACAGGGTTGTTGAGTTATTGAACAAATTATCGGGTAATATAATACACGTGGGTTTACCGGATTGTTTCAAGTGTAGGCTAAACATATGTATGAATGAGAAAATCTTTTTGGAGCAGGACAGTGGGATTAAACCAGCGTCCCGGGACACCACAGACGCGCACCGGCTCCAAACACTTATACATATGTATATTACGTTATTGTGATTTTATTGTGAATATGAATATAGGTGGATATAAATGGTGGCTGCCTCCTATGGGCCAGAAGACCTTATGCAGTTTCCTTGATTTTCTATGTACTTAAAAACAATTTTTTTAGGTAAATTAAAATTATTTGCAACTGGTTCACGACACATGAGTGTTTTTATTTTATTGAAGAACACTAGGGTGTTCTAGCAGCCTCGGAGTTGCCGAGGCTGTCATTAGACTACGCTTCCCGCACCGCCATTAGGAGGGTACGAGCTACATAAAATATACTCATGCACATGTCAAAACTGATGACAAGAAACACGCGGCTGAATTCATGGTGTGTACCAAATGATCATCTAATTGTCTGAGTGCCTATTTCAAATTGTCTCTATATCTAGTCATAAAGGTATATGTGTGTACGTCTAGCAACTACATGTGTATGTTTATCACTCAGCATGTTCGGTAATATGTTTTTTGTTTGTGTTGAGTTTATATATGTATGAACACGTTGTACTGAACGGGGTAAGAATAGCTTGAGCTACCTCATCCCTTTGTGGGTATTTTACCTCAATAAAATTATTTCAACTCAAAATAAAATGCATTAAAAACTAACTGTTATCACTATTCTGACACTGACAAAACTATTTCTTATATTTCTGTCTCAGTGACTTAGTTTCCACCTGTGTTAAAATAATCGTTAGTTGTCTATTTCATTGAAAATTATGTATGAAGTAATCATGTCTCTTCTATCTTCTAATGATTTGAAGATTATTTGTTAGTTTCGTCGTAACTCACGTCCCAGCTCAGGTAGTCTTGCAGCATACCTATGGACATCCATTTTCGTTATTTTGTTTAACGAGATATGGATTCCACGTTGTTTCCGCGCATTCCAGAATTGTTCTGGCATTTGCAGTATACAGGACTATGGATTATTCCTTAAGATAAATGTTATATTGGCTAACTTAGTATAAACAGCTGTGATATCCATTCGCGGGAGACTGCAGATATATATAGATTCGGTGCAACATTAACCCTCCAGGCCCCTAGAAACGTGATTCTAGGAGAGTTTCCTCTCCCATTTGTACCTAATGTCCAACTTCCTATATCCAGCATTCAAATGTCATTATTTTGCACTTGCACGAGTTAAACTCGAGTAACCACTTGTTGGACCATTATATAATTGTCTTGTCATCCTGCAGTTTCTTGCAATATTTCCCTATTAATTCTCTTCATATTTTGTGTCATCGTCAAACACCTAGAGAAATGAGTCTGTTCCCTCTTGAAGATCATTTACATATACCTGGGAAAAAATTGGGCCTAGAACTGACACGTGAGAGACTACTAGTAATATTTCGCTAATGTGAGCTATCTTTCACTATGACTATCTGTCTTCTGTTGCTTAGATACTCCCTCATCCACTGGAGCACCTTCCCTGTCACTCATCTCCTACTCGCCTAGACGTGTCTTCCTAGATATGTCTATAAACAAATAAATAATATAGATGTGTTTACAGTGTCAAGCAATAGCTCTCTTTCCCCGCCTTTCCATCACCTGGTCGGTTAGTACAATGACTTTCATTAAATTTGCTCCTCGATGATCTTATAGCCTATTGCGCTCGCTTGCGAGTACTAAACGTCTCTCATGTGAGCAAGTTTCAATCACATAAACACTTGCAATCCTTCTCATGTTGAAATACACGGTACAGTATTCCTACAATAATATTCCTTTATCATTACTAACCTTTCTTCCAGAACACCCAGACAAATTTTCTGACAATTGTGAGATTGAGCAAACGAAACAGCAGTAACAATCTTGTAGACGCCACCACACACAATCTTGTAGACGGAGCAACAAAAATGATGTTGACCAGACCACACACTAGAAAGTGAAGGGACGACGACGTTAACGGACCGAAACGTCGTCGTCCCTTCACTTTCTAGTGTGTGGTCTGGTCAACATACTTCAGCCACGTTATTGTGACTCATCGCCTGCAACAAAAACGATCTTGTGGACGCAACGACAAAAACAATCTAGTGGACGCAACGACAAAAACAACCAAGTGGACGCAACAACAAAAACAACCAAGTGGACGCAATAACAAGACCAATCTCCTGCACGCAATAAGAGCAGTCTTGTAGCTGAAAAAAACAGCACTTTTGCAGTTTGGAGGTCATTCCCCGGTTTAAGACCCTTTAATTTACATGAAAATATGGTTGAGTAGGTATTTTGGATTATCCAATATTTACCTGAGGGCCACTAACACAAATGGCCTCGACGAGGAAAGGAAGCCGGCGGCTTGTCAAAGGTCCCCTCCCCCCCTAATTTTTCCTGAAATTATTTTTCCATCTGGATTTTGAACTGCAGTAACATCGCACTTAAAAGAGCTTTACATATATAGAGAGTACACTCGACTGTGTGTATGTATTTTATGTTTAAAATATTCAATGGTTTCAGAAAAGAAAGTAGTTGCAAGCTGTCTGGGGTTGTTATTGTTCTACCTGCTGATTTATGTTCAGTAATTATGTGTGTTTAACACGGGAGACATCTCCCGTCACGCAGGGTGCAGTCGCGCCTCCACAGATCTCCAGTATCAACTCTTGATACTGGTAATGGCTCAAAAGGGCCACCACTTACGGGCTATTCATGCCCGTGCCACCTTTTGGGTGGCTTAATCTTCATCAATCAATCGTGTGTTTGAGGTCATTTTGAGTTGTAGATCCCCACGTGCAACTACCGTAGGCGAGATATGGATAGATTAATAAACAATATAGTAATATCAGGACAGAGCGAAGTGCACAGTAATGGCCGTATAGATTTGAAGCTATTGAGTGAAATCAGAAAGAATATGGTGGGGTGAAATATGAGAGAAAAAAAGGGAGAGATAAGCGAGGGTTTAAAAGGGCGTGTGGGAGCGAGGGGGAGATGACAGGGGCGAGAGGGGAAGGTAATGTGTGTAGGAGGGAGGGTGTCCTAGACCAGTGTCCACAGCCGGGACACTCCTGGTCAACAGTGTCGGCAGATCATCCCACCATCATACTCGGTACAAGCAGATTATATCGTCGACCCCTCCCCTCATCCCCCTACAAAATATCACAAGTCGCCATCTACTCTCTTTATCGGTTATTGCTTCTCAAATCTTCACGGATTCTGAAGGGAAAGAGTGAACTCTGAGGCCGTTTCTGAGGGTGTTGCTACAAGACGAAGGGGCCCAGGAACCTCCAGACCGCCACCTGGCCGCCGGAAACGGAGGTAGTGACGTCCTTTGAGGCGTCATCCTGCATCCTGGTTGTGCTGGCCCATCTCTCTCTCCCCCCCCCCTCTCATCAGGTCCTGTGGGGTTGTGCAGGAGATATAATGAGATGCACGGGGCTGTGCATCACTGCAGCGGCACAGCCAGCCATTCCTCTCCTGTCCTCACATCACTGCAAGGCTCTGCCATGAACTTAGTGAGTTTACAACTTTGTACTTTTTGCCGTATTATTGTTAATGCCTAATTGCTGTGACTTAAATAATTGTTTCGTTAGTTCTTCTTGATTATTTTAGTTCATTGTCACTTTTTATTTTCTTTTTACACTTCACTTTACTTTTTACACACACAATTGCGAACAAGCTTGAATGGTCCCCAAGCCAACATGTAATCGAAAACTCCACATCCCAGAAAGATTCGAACCCAGACAGCCAGAAGCAACCACTGAGCGCTGTCAGATGTTGGGTAAACAGTCTCACGACTACCAACATTTTTGTACAGTCAGTTTGGTCTAGAGACTAAGGTACCAGATACGCCAAGGTGCATAGTACACTTTGCATACACCGTGTACTCACTGAATTGTGCTTGTGGGGGGGTTGAGCTTCGGCTTTTTGGTCCCGCCTCTCAACCGTCAATCAACTGGTGTACAGATTCATGAGCCTACTGGGCTCTATTATATCTACATTTGGAATTGTGATTGGAGTCTGCCACCACCACATCACTGCCTAATGCATTTCATTTGTTAACTATTCTGACGCTAAAAAGTTCTTTCTAATGTCTCTTTGGCTCATTTGGGTACGCAGTTTCCACCAGTGTCCCTTTGTGCACGTTCTCCATGTTAAATAAACTGGCTTTATCTATGCTATCAATTCCTCTGCGAATCTTGTATGTGGTGATCACATCTCCCTTAACTCTTCTTTCTTCCAGCAACGTGAGGTTCAGTTCTCGTAGTCTCTCCTTGTACCTCATACCCCTCAGCTCGGGTACTAGTCTGGTGGCATACCTTTGAACCTTCAGCAATTTAGTCTAGTGCTTGACTAAATACGGACTCCAAGCTGGAGCTGCATACTCCAGGATTGATCTGACATATGTGGAAGTTCTAAATGATTCTTTACACAAGTTCCTAAAGGCAATTCTTATGTTGGCCAGCCTTGCATATGCCACTGATGATATCCTTTTGATGTGGGCTTCAGAGGAAAGGTCAAGTGCGATATTAACCCCCAGGTCTGTGTGTGTGTACTCACTTATTTGTGTGTGTGTGTGTGTGTGTGTGTGTGTGTGTGTGTGTGTGTGTGTGTGTGTGTGTAAATAATAAAATAAATAAATAATAAATAAATTTACTTGAACTTGATGTGCTAAGCTCCAATGTACTCACACCTAACCCAGCTTATGTTAAACATGCATATATAACACGTTACCTCTGTGTGGGCAGGTAAGTGTGCTGATGCTTGTGATGGCCGCCCTGCTGCTGGCTCCATCTCACAGCCTGCCTGATGCCGAGGTGCTGATGGAGGCGGCGCCAGACCTCAGGCGCCAAGAATGGGTCCAACCACCACCTCCCCCTCGCTTCCACTACCGGGGCTTCGGGAGACCCAACCCCAGGACCAACTGGCTGTAAGTTCCAATATCCACAGCCCATTCTCCTCCTGCCCAGCGAACCTGCATTGCTCCGGAAACCATGCGATTATCATATACAACAGAATAAGTTTATTAATATTAAGGAATAAATAATGCAAAAGAGACAAGGTGGATATGTAGGTACAGTAGCGAGATAGCAGCCTTTATGGTGATACCACAACGCAATGATCATTTACCAGGATACCATATATGTTGGGCTTTCTGCTTGAACTTCAGTCCTCAGCAGTACCCTTGGTTGTAAACTTGGCGTGAATAAATGGAAACCACTTGTTTTGTGTAATATTCCTAATATATTAAGGTACGTACAACTTTTCCGCCACCACTCACAGTATGGGTATATATTAGGCGGTCCATAAAAAAACTACTCCAGCCAAAACTCTGTAAATTGTTAATTACTCTTAGATCTGTTAATGCAAGGTCATATGCAAGTGTTTTTAATACACTGCTGCCACAAAGCTAATACCAGAAATAAGGGAACTAAGGTATGAAAATATACAAATACAGTACTCACTTGTGCATATGTGGACAGGGACAAACTGTTTAAAATAGGTGTGAATAGAACAAGAGAATACAAAGAGGAACCGGAAAAGAAGACGAGTCAGAGGGACATCATTTACTCTGTCTTCAGTTTAAAGCAGTGAATAGGTGGATGGAGCAAGAAATGGAAATAGTTAAGGCTATCTACATACACAACTTCAGTTGTAGATAATGTACACCAAAGTAGAAGATGGTGATCGACAGGTAACAGACAGGGCATAAGAGCTGGAGCTCATTACCCACATGCACAAGAAGGTGATCATGCACATGCATCATATAAAATTTTAGGTAGTAGATGGGAATTAAACAAATATTTTTGTTTTATAAAATATTATTTTTTAAATTTTCACAATTTAGTACACAAGGATAAACTTAAACAGCCTGTGTTCAATGTAACCAACTTTCAACAACAAAATCAGACCTTCATGGGCAAGTCATTCAACTACTTCTTTAGGCAAAAAGTCTTAGTCCCTGGACATGGTAGGCAAATATTCTGCATCTACACAACATATATCTTTTCAAACTGTCCCTGTCAGATCATACCTGACAGGGACAGTTTTATTACTAGAAAAATTCTAAGTACTGCACTTCAAAGTATTAACTGGCAAACCAAGGACCATCATATTAGCATTGTCACAAATTATGGTTGCCTTGCCTGACCACTACATCTGACAACCACCACCAGACTGCAGCAACTGAGCCCCCAAGCAAACAACCCGAGCCCAAGAGAGGAGGGGACAGAGACAACCAAGTGACTTGCCTAGCTTAAAATGCTGCTTTCTATTTTACTCATTGCCCAAATTCTGAGCTATGCCACTCAGCTGCCCCCCTAAGGCAAATCTGTCAGAAAGGAATAAACAAACATACACAAAACTAATAATAGGATAAAAACTCACCTACTCTGCAGAACCATGTGCAACATCATCTAGCAATACCAACGCCTCACATCCTACCACCCAAATCCCTCGAGCAGCACACACGGACATCGTGAAGACAGCCACCATGAGATGATACAATGACAGTAAAGAAGGTGGGTCTTGAAGATGCACTGGGATGCCATCATGTGTGTTCTAAAACTCAATCAGTAATGTCCAAATAAGATGTAACTGAAAGAAAGGCCTAGAGGGTGGCAAATCTCCACAGGCCATGATCACAAGGATACACCTGTGGTTGACTCAAATTTACCACTATGTGTAGTAGTTGGAAAATCTATAATGTAATACAAGGGACCAGAATCTGGCTTTTCACAAAGAGGTACAGTACTCCAAAAGCGAATACTTAGAGGCCAAGAGGAAATATTGCAAATCTGAAATCCAAATACTATGGTGAACATGAGGTTGGACAAAGCTCTTACTAAAATAAGGTCTGTTCAAAAAGCACTCATCTCATTCTTGACCAAACTGGTTGAAATCAGAGGAGAGCATGGCATTCACTGACAGGTTGGCCTATAGCATGGGCCACAAGAAAGAAAATACAAGGATGCATGTAATAGGTAAATTATGGTGAGATCACAAATCGATCAGTGAAAAGTAAATCTATAATCTAAAAGGAACACAAGGTGGGCGTCTGCTTAGCATTGAAAGGTCAGATTTGAGAAAAAAAGGATCCACCAATTATAAAGAATAAAAGACAGGCTTGGCCAAAGTGGAAATTGAGCTGGAGCCACCTCTTTGGATAAAGCTCTACGAAGAGGTACTATTGGGTAAGAGCTACCTGTTTTTAAGTAGCCAAGTAATAAAGAACACAAGAAAATGATAATGGAGTGCAATTTACCATTGGAGAATCCTCCGAACAACCTTGTAATGTTGACAGAATGATAACAAAGGTGCCGAATCAATATGACCACTGCCTACTTCAGTGCAGAACCATAGAGAACTTGGAAGTGTCCTTGTAGCACCAGTGACTGAGCCTAGTTACTTTTGCTAAGACATGACAAAAGGTAAACATAAAAGCAACCCCGCACTCACAGGTAGTGTTTCTGTACAATGTATGCTGGACAACAACACAAATGCCTATATTCAACAAGAAAACCCCTTGGGAACTACAAATTAAGTAGAAAACTGGAGAAAACACTGGCACAGTGTTTTCACTGAGGTAATGAAAACATTAGGCACAGACAGAGCCAGAACAGAGAAAATAACTCTGGTAACTAAGTAATACACGAAGTAACTTTACTGAATTCCAGACTCATTTGCTCAACAACACATATGCCAGTCAACTACATTGTGATGTGGCTAAATTCAGGAGACTGTATTTGATAGGTGCTACCATCTGGTGGTGGTCAGGTGGAGTAGCTGCATGGGGACACCAGTGGTTTGCACAGCTGTGGGGATGGGGGTCACTGGGTTGTCAATTTCTTTCTTGGAAGGGCTTTAATTCTTTTTTAATGTGCTTTCAGACAGCCAAACCAGGCTGGATCACATATCCTCCTATAACATAGCATCTGTATGGAGTTATTGGAATAACTCCATACAGATGGAGTTACTCCATCTTACAGTAAGTTACCATAAAAAGTTTGAAAATAGTTCTACGGTGTTAATGCAGATTTGTGACCTACCATGAGCCAGGAGGATCTTTGCCTTAGGGAGCAAGAAAGTGGCACAGCTGAGTAAATACTTGTACTGAAGTTACTGTACAATGGAAATTCTACAAAACTGTATAGTATTTCAAAGCTTACAAATACTGAACGAGATGAAAATGTTTATAAACGTTAAATCTTACATACAAAATGTAAACAACCATGTAAACAGTACAATACTTACAAACACACTGTGTCTGCATCATACATTAGCTTATATACTAAAATATGACTTAAGAGATGCCAATAGAAGGTTGTGGTAAGTTGACTAACCTATTCATTCTCTCACTTTTTTTTTTATGGATTTGGAGAAGAGAACAAAGTGAAAAATTCATGTAACCAAACTTCTGCACCTGCACTACTATATTTAACATTTCTTATCACATACTAAAACTACAGAGAACTTATTTGTTCATTTGCCAAATTGTTTACTCTGAAGTTCCATCGAGACTAGACTGACAGGGATTTACTTATTCAAATCACAACTGCTATCCATAAAGTCATTTACAACAGGACACCAAAGCCTAAACCTAGAGTTATGCACTTGGGTGAGGTTTGAGTACATGTCTTAACCAACAAGTGTAAATAAAACACTACATATGCTGGCAGTACTTTAGCTGACTGTAGTCATATATACATATCTACAAATCATTAATCAATTCAATAAAAAAAACAACTTCATGTTAATGAATACAGCATTCCTACTTAGGCATCATTCAGTACATATCAATAAAAAAAAAATATAAGGAATACTGGTAAGATGAACAGTTATTATAAATGACAAAAATACATTTTATAGAAAAAACAATGTTGTACAAAAAATTTAAATGTTTAAACTATACAATGAAAATGAAACATATTTCAATTGAAGTTACAGTCTCCTCTCACACTGGGGTTCAACAGTGTAGGAGAAATGACACACATTAAGGATTAAGGTTTGTGCATAAATAAGATCACTAGTATAATTATGGGGTGTCCCATGACACCCATTTATCATATATCAAGATAAGAATGAGCTTCTCCCACTGCATTGGCAATGATCACCAGAAAATCTTTCACAAAAGTTAACACAATGTTAAGGCAGTACATTATCCTGTCCTGTGCAGTCTTATAGAAATCTAAGACTGAAAGTTTAATCCACTTTGAACTGTGACAATTCATGTAGTTTTGGGTCATGAAATAGCCATCAGTTCCTTGTAGCAACACAGATATACTTATGCAAGTGAGGGCATATATGGTGCATGCTCAGCCTTTATTTCATTATGAACACCAAATACTCAATGATGGCAATCCTGTCAATTACATTCATCATCAGGATCAATGCACTTAAGGGACCCTGTTGAAATACATCCAATATTTATATTACAGTTTTTATTTATACTATTCATTGTCATTAATACGTTCAAGATATCATTTTTAAGAACTAGAATAGAAACATTCTCAGTATTCTCTCCCAGAAATTCATGAAACCATGTTAAAGCAGCCTTAAATTTATATATAGTGGCATAATGTGTATCGAAAGGTAATTATAAATAAATATTCTATACAAGAAAACTCTCCTGTGTTATATACAAAGCATATAAATCATCCCCAGGTTTAATTCAGCAATGTATGTTTAAATAACTCTCATTGCCAAAATGGGGTGCCAAGAGAAATAAAAAGCACCTTTCCAATCTGGTTCCTTGGTTAATCCCATGAGCCTGCATTCTATATGGGGTACACCTAGCAGTAAATAGTTACCTAGGTAGTTACCTAGCAGTAAATAGGTACCTGGGAGTTAGTCAGCTGTCACGGGCTGCTTCCTGGGGGTGGAGGCCTGGTCGAGGACCGGGCCGCGGGGACACTAAAAGCCCCGAAATCATCTCAAGATAACCTCAAGATACACTCACACTTTCTGCCTGCTGGGGTCTAATGACTTCTTCATCAAACACGACAAGTCGTTGAACAGATGGAAAACAGATCAGATCGTTGAACAGATGGAAAACAGATCAGATCATTGAACAGATGGAAAAAAAGAGTGAGGTAATCTGCAGGCAAATCAAAAGTTAAATATAAAACAGACTTATTTTTGACTTAAATAAAAAAAAAATGCAATGAGGCAGCACTACTACAGAATCACTCACTAAACTTGTATATCATATCATTAAGCAGTATGTGTGTAACTCAGTACCCACTGCCAAGATCTACACTGAAGATACTGAAGCTCCACAGCTCCCTAGGCTGTGGAGCAACTCATGAGGAGTTACACTCTGAAAGCAGCTTCACTCATTTTCAGCGGATATATCTATGATCGTCAATGGCCATCAACAAAACAGTGCCAAAGAAGAAGAAAAAGAAACCAAACTACTAGTGAAAAGTACTAGACAGTGACAAACAAGTAAACAAACAGTCACATGTAGTGACCACTAAAGCATAATAAACCAGAGGCACAAGACAGTCTCGAAGAAAAATATTTAAAAACTTATCTTAATGGCCAGAGCAGAGCCAGAGGCAGGAAGTGTAACCTGCCAAGCAACCATCAAGGTTGAGTCAATGTTGGCCCTGTTGTGGCAGTCAGGTTATCTATCTTGAGGTTATCTTGAGATGATTTCAGGGCTTTTAGTGTCCCCGCGGCCCGGTCCTCGACCAGGCCTCCACCCCTAGGAAGCAGCCCGTGACAGCTGACTAACACCCAGGTACCTATTTTACTGCTAGGTAACAGGGGGAAACAGGGAAGCAGTTAGTTTCCCAATCTGCAGTTAGAAGAGCAACAATTTATGTCATTTGCATAACAGCGAGTTGGTCTCTCCACGGAAGCTTGAGATTGATTCATGACTGTCTTCCCCAAATAGGTGACCAGACGATTTTAAAAGTTATTAGTCACTGTGGCTTATCTAGTCATGGTGGATAAACAAGCCACTGTGTAAACAAGCCATTGCATAAACAAGCCATTATGT